AAATTGAAACATTATTTAGGTCACGAAACTATCAATTATAAATAGGATCCCGAGGAGCGAAAGATAAGGAATAACAGTCTAACAACAACTACTTTTTTTACGGGGGGAAATCTTTATAGATACCCCTGAGCCCAGGGAGACTCAACTCAACAACTACCTGACAACCCTAATAAATATAAACAAAACATGAAAATGCGAACAAAGGTAGTTTGTTGAACCTCGCGTGCCGTGCCTACCGGTTGCTCCTACGAAGAACTAAGTCAAGGGTTTTTGGCTCATTAATAATAATAATAATGTGCCCGACAATCACACTAATTGCCAATCTAAAACTGGAATTCCCTCTAATAGTAGAGTATAGACTCCGTCCAACCTTTTATTTAACTTTTGACATATGCATGCCTCCGAAACCATTGACAAAAAATGCATTACTTCCTGGACTCTTTTTATTTTTTAATTTTAGCGAAGCGATGTACTATTTAGCTCCGATATTTATCGAGCCCACAGATTAAATAACGAAGATGACGAAGAAGAAATTAAGTAAATTACAAATAATTGTAATAAATTCTTATTGTTTATTATAATGAATCGTCGGGTTATTCTCCATATGAATGGGAATCATCACTCAATAATGTTAATAAGGATTACATAAATAATTATTAATTCTTGGGTTATATACTGAATGTTCTTGAGTACACAAATTGTCAAACGCAACATCACGATCTCAATCAGACAATATAAAAATAAATAAAAAGACTTTATTCTTCAACAGAAAACATACAACAATATTTAAGATAAAACAATGCTTAATCTATGTCGAAGAAAAGGAAAAAGCCTCACCAATTTGCTGGTTTTCAGGCTTCACCTGGCAAATATTCGCCATTGGAGACACCGTAGCATATAGAGACAGGTATCTTGTCGAATATATGTATATATTATATAATAGGAGGGTACCTCACTCGCTATATACGTTTACTACAGAAATAACAAACCTTAAAACTTAAAATGACATACATACCGACCACCGAACACACTGCACTTAGCAGCAAAGAGTATTTCACTATGTACATAGAATACAACAAGCAGATAATGGAATTTAGAAGAATATACAGTTACATTTTTTTAGTTAGTTAGTACATTTTTAATTCCTGTTATAATTTTACTTTTATTATTTCTAATGACGTAACAGAACCTGCATCACCTTCGACTAACAGTATGATATCTTCTGTAGATTAAGCAGCCATTCCTTGCCTTGACAGTATAATTATAATATCTTCTTTTCTGAACCCGCTCACATTCACGATTAAAACTTCTTCATAAATAAAATCGATTGTTATAAAAAATCGAATAGGAAACGCACATCACTAACTGATTAGAATTCGAGCGTCAAAAGTTAAATAAATGGTTGGACGGAGTTTATGAATACCAGAGCAACGGAATACATTCTGGGGCACTAGGTAGGTACCCAGAACACCCAGACAAAAATCAATTGAAAAAATAGCATTTCTCAAATTGTTCCTACCAAGTTGGAGACATTATAACAATATATACGTATACTTTTATCTGTTCTCATTACGCACGTTATTGAGTCAGAACATTATAAAAACGAATTTTTAATTAGAGGTAGTAAAGTGACTGAGTCGCTTGCCAGTTTTTGATAAAAGTTTGTAGAGACTAAGCTGATTAATATTCGAACTGTGTTATTGTGTGGTTATAAAGTCATAATAGTGTTTTCATGTTTTTTTTTATTTATGTATAATATACGTTTCTTTTTGACTGATTTTATTTCAATGAGTTGAGTTGAGAAAGAACTGAACGAAATATTACTTTAGAGTGTAGTTAAATAGTTGTTAGGAATGTGCTAGTAGACATTGCTTAGTGTATATAATGTATATACACAAAACCTTGGCATATAAAAGTGAATATACGATCTTTAGAATCCGCGGCAAGAAAATGGCCTACGAACCGACCATTTAATTGCATGGGTCACATCTTAAGAGACTCAATCAAATCAAATCAAAAGATCTTAAGAGAGTATATCTTATTTATTAACCGACTTCAAAAAAGGAGGAAGTTCAGTTCGACTGTTAATTTTTTGCGTGTTCCGCGATAACCGATTCTGCTTGATCCTTAAAATCATCGGCAATACCTAGACATTTAAAAAGCCTTCACTTTTTTAAAAGTCGCTTTGTAAGATAAGTATTAGATTGTTTAGTTATACATAGGAAATGAAACCATTTTTCCGGATTTAAAACTGTAAAGGGCCCGAAACGTTGGTTTGTTTGAAAAAAACAAATCTACGCAATTTAAACCCGGAAAAATAGTTTCATTTCCTACTATTTGCATCTTGTAAATTTTACTTAGTCTTGTTGGGCACTTTGATTTACGCTGTAAGTCCGCAAGAATGATTCCTTTATAAATAATCTCAGTACAGAGTACTAAAAAAATGACCTCAAAAGTCACTCATACCCTAGTTTGCCACCCTAAGAAGTGGACCACTACTGAGGTACCCACCCTCCTTCCAACAAAAAATAATCGTCAAAATCGGTTCACAAATGCCGCAGTAATCGCGTAACATACACACAAAACAAATACAGTCGAATTGAGAACCTCTTCCTTTTATGAAGTCGGTTAAGAAATTATAAAAATTGCCTAATTCTCTTTGAAAATATAGATAAACTTAAGATCAAAATGTCGGGCAAGAGACGTTGACAGTACACATGTATTTATCTAAATTGCTTACTACATAGTCATAAAACAAAGAATTACACGTAAAAGTCGATAAAAATAGATATTTTTCGAAAATCTGAATCTCATTTATTCTGTCATTTCCTTCTGAGGAAAGATATTGGACCCGAATTAGTGTCCAGAAATTGGGACCCCAATCATTCATTTGTTTTCCATTTCCTCGCAGTAATTGAACTTCCTGATAATAAGAAAAGTTGTAGTCTGTTGTTGCTTATAAACCATTTTTATTTCAAATTACTTTCAACCAGCGAAGAAATATTTACTTACCGAGTCACGCATTTAATATTAGTTTATATTGGCTTTGAGTACTTGGCATGTGGTCAATTGATTCTGTTTACATAGCCTTAAAGTTCTTTGCTCTCATATTTCAAAGTAAACATTGATTATAGGGAAATTTTGCATTGCTACATAATGCAAACAGTGAGATTGATGTTGTTACAATTAAAGGACATAATTGATTGCTAGGCGTGTTAGGAAATACACTCAACCTCAAAGAAAACTATGACTTGGTAAGGTTATACTCCGCTGGGTTTTATGCCTAATTTAATTTGGCTGTTTTACGCTATCATTACGCTGTTATCACGCTATGATAAGAAAATAATTTGAAGAATTGCTCGTGTTTACACATAAATTTCTTACGTAGATTTTTTATGCAACTAAAATTAATGATATTGTTTTGTACACTATGATTATCTGTGTACACGTCCACTTTACTGAAGAAATGAATACAAAAGTATTATATAGTCAAAAGGGCCAAAATCCACCGGATACGATTATTTTGGGAGAATTATGAAACCGTACCATAGCATTCAGTGCCTTGCAACACGTTCCACATGGTTGCTCTCATTTCTATGTTTAGTGTGCTCCACATGCAATGATATAACACAGGTATCCTATTTCAATACCATAAAATCGTGCCCTCATTTTTATTTCTATTAATTTTTCCAATCTTCTGCTAACAACTGGTTGATTTGTCTGGAAGTAAATCCTTTATTATCAATATCTTTTATAGTGGGTGCTAAATAATGAAGTATGATGTCACGCGTGGGTCGTAATTGGCATGCAAAACGACATTTCCCGTGAAGTCCATGTATTGCTATATGCGCTACAACCACTTTCTTATTCTATAAACGGTTCGAAGAAAAGATGCCGAATTAGTCTCTTTCAATTTATCAAAAAGTTTCTAATAGCTATTGCCATATTGAGATAGTACGAGAAACTAGTGATACGATACGACATTCATGTAATCATTATCGTTAAACGTAACACAGTTATAAACGCAGATGGGCAACGAACGTAAACAAACCTAGCTTTGTTTGTACTACAGACAATGTGGGATTGTTCATGTCTATATGTTGATTTATAACAATAATAATAACTAATACGTATTAGTATGTACATAGAAGATGCAATTGTCTTGTTTATTTTTAAATCGTACCGCTGTAGGTGTAGGGGGAGTCTAGATTGTGGCTGCACTTATTGTTATATATGTGTATTAAGACTAGAGAATACCTTACTGACTTTCAGTTTAATTCAATCTAATTTATAGAGCACAATTCTTCTAGTCTTATTCGGAATTAAGCAACCATCTCCTGTATACGTTTTTTTTAAAACACGTATGTGTTCTCTTTTGTGAGTATCCAATATACTATTTCGTGAGTTAGTTCACCTACTGTGCAATTAGGTTTTCAGTATTTAGTAGTAGCTCGTTATATTGTCACGCACTCTTGCCTTTTACCGGTCTGTGAACATGTAGGATGCGTGGACAGGCAGCTTATGTTCAAATATAGTTTAGATATTTTCATGATTGGCAGTTGCCTGAATTATACTTGGTTTAGATATGCTGCATAGTAAATTTGTCTTCTCAGTAGTTTTAACATATTTTATTTCGGCAGCCTTTGCCAAATTATTATCAACATAATTCGTGAAAATTGCTTTTCAAGTGTCTGAGTGTTGCAAATGTTTATAAAGAAACTTTTTTTCGTGCACGAAATTGGCATCGTTTGTGTTCACCCACACGCAGTTTACTCGCACAATTGGCGTAACATTAATTGATAACCATGCACAAGTAAAATTCTTGCTTTTTAGGAACGCGTCATAAAGAACAAAAAATCCATTAAAACATTTTACAACGAATGTATGGGAAATCAAACTCAATACAACACTTCTATAGTTATTCCTGTTTCATTATTGCCTTCAGTTAACACATCCGAAATCAAGGACGGCAATAATACTGAGATAGATCTTTAATTCAGTTTCAACGCTCCAATAGATTAATGCGCATCTATTTTAAGCGCGGTCTGAACAGAAAGTAAAATCATTAAGTGCTTGTATAGACAAACAATTGTTTAGTTTCAATGTCGGGGCTGCGGTCTCCATGGAGCTGCCTCACGCGCGCTGTAACCGTGACGACAACCCTCGCTTGCCAGTGTTGGGTCTCGGTCTGACCAGCGTCCGACTCATTGTCAACAAGATAGAGTCCGAATACACTCGTGCCCTAGCTTCCTCCGAGAGTGGCCGCGAAATCGTCAAATACGATCCGAACGTCGACGAAGGATACGACGATTATTATGACTCTCCCCTCGACGCATCGAGCGGACGAGTCTGGAGTCGTTTCGCTGTAAACTTAGGCATAGCCCTAAGCAGATGCATTCCTAGTGTTTCGTTTGCCAATTTCGGACTACTGGCTTTAATAACGGGATTCTTCGCACCGAGAATGATCTCTTATTGGGTCATATATCCATTTTGCAGATTGGTATTCGGAACTCTCTACCCGGCTTATGCTTCATATAAAGCTGTGCGGACGAAGAATTTGAAAGAATACGTGAGTACATTTGATTTTTTTCTTTTCATAACTCTCATGCGCGATTCCAAGAAATTAGCATATAGAGATACGAACATAAACCCACACAATGGGCGTATAGCGCAATCGGTTGTCTAACATGACAATACTATTTCTTGTGGTAAAACATCTATTGATATCAACCCCAAATGTCAATACCAAATGCTTGCAAGTAATCAGTGGCCTTGTTACGGATGCATGATCTGCTCAAGTTGTTTGCAACGCTTCAGTTCCCTTTGTGTCCTTTACATTGTTTCGTGCTTCCTACACGCAATTAATCCACTGGTAATATACTCTTTTGTTAAAAAAAAATACAATAGCGTCATTTTACTACGTTTTGAAATTTTGAGGGAAGCAAAAAGATTACCACGATAACTGCACCACATGTTTATTTTATGATTTTTAACGTGTATAAATAAGTTTCCGTCCAACAATATTGACTAGAAATCTTTGAGCATTTGGTTCAACAAAGCGAATAAAAAAGCATTTTAGAAATTGCAAATCGTCTAACCAAGGTCATCCATAACGCTGTGTTAAAATGTTTACGAAATTGTAAGAGATGAATGTTAGGTAATAAAGACCTGAAAACTCGTTAAAAACTCGTATTAGAGTTTAGTTAAAAACTTGCAAAGTAGAAGTAGTACATCCGATCTTTTTTAGCTTTTGAATAACAGTCATTTTATTAACTGTTTCACTAACAACATTAAAAAATGTTCCTCTGCAGTTTTTACTTGCAATCGCTTCTTTGTCACCGCTTTAAAATTGAATTTTCGTTGGCCATGAACCACGTGAGTCAAAGTAAAGTCATAATAGTATGTCGTGATTTATTTGTGCTACGGTTTTTACATTTGTGTAAGGTATTATAATCTCTAAATATATCTTGATTTCTTGGATTTTGGATTATTACACATAGGAAATGAAACTATTTTTCCGGATTTACCGTCAACCGTGACCAAGGGACCTATAAAGGGCCCGAAACGTTGGTTTGTTTAAAAAAACAAATATACGCGATTTAAAACCTGAAAAATAGTTTCATTTCCTATATATCTTGATTGTTTTCTTATTATATATATATTTTTTTTATACACACATCGAAAGTGTCTAGAGATCAAGCACGCTTTTGCCAATTACTGAAAATCAGGTTTTTTTAATGATTTTTTTTAACACCGATCGATTGTATTTTATAATAATTAATTTAATTTTATATTTTGACTTTCAAAATTAAATTGACCAAAAAAATCCATTGGTGTTAAAAACAATTCAATAAAAACCTGATTTTCAGTAATTAGCAAAAACGTGCTTGATCCGTAGACATTTTTGATGTGTGTATCTTTTATGTGACCGATGACGCTACGCTCAACTACCAACTTTTTCCTACATTTATGTACCTAGGTTTTTCCAGACTTTCTCATCATTGTCTTAGTAAGAGCTTTTTTAGTAACACTAGTTTTATATTTACAATCGTCTCTACAATATCTTCCAACCACACATAAGAATGACAATTTATTTTTATCATGTTGCAGGTAAAATGGATGATGTACTGGATCGTCTTCGCCTTGTTCACATGCACAGAAACGTTCACAGACGTTTTCCTATCATGGTTCCCGTTCTACTACGAAGTGAAAATAGTCCTCGTACTTTGGCTCCTGTCGCCAGCTACCAAGGGCTCGTCGATATTGTACAGGAAGTTTGTACATCCAGCGCTTTGCAGGCGGGAGCAGGTTAGTTGACGACTTTTATAATTAGTTGGGTTGGCTAACTGCATTGTTCAGAACCAGAGCAGTTTCACACTTCTTACCAAAATGAATTTATTTATACGAAAATTAAAGATATCACTTTATTGGGACAAATTCCCAACTAAATTAAAAGCCTGCTCTGACTCTAAGCTGTGCAACTAGTCCAATGAAAAATAAAATAAAGCCAGGTATTTAGTATTATTAACGTCACAATATTGAAACGTTAAAGGATAGGATCGTCTCTTACGTAAATTTTACAAAACTGTAAATTAGTTCCAGTAGTAGTTTAGTTCAAATTTCTAAGTCTCATACAAAACTCATTATACAGTCATTTAGAATTACATCCTTGAAAAATAATTTCGTGACCTTGGCGTACTTTGCTAATTTTCGTGCTTATCTAAGAAAAATCGTGAAAATTTATTCTGTGCCTTGGTACAAGTGCCTTAAGGACAAATCGCTTACGCACTTTTTGTATACAAAGCGACATAACTCCGCTACGCAATAATTTAGTCACATTTTTTTAAATACACATACATTCAAATCTATAATAAAAAAATAATTACCTAGAATAAATAACTGTAAACTGTAGGGCTAGCACGACAGGACATAAAGCTCGAGATACTGCTATTCTCGCATAGAGTTCTCGCGCTTTATGTCGCTCTCGCGCAAGTCGCGCCCGGTCGTGCTAGCCCTAATTATTATATTTAAAAAAGACCTTATAAGTTCGAAACGATAACTGAAACGCATATGGGAAGTCCTCGTCAATACGAACCAAACACGAAGTAGCTAGCTGCTGTACACTGCTAAGGAGTTCGTCTCATCTGTCTGCCATTTTCATCCTCAGATCAGCTCTTATGTAACCATTTTATTTTCATAACATTTATTGAAATCGGTTAACGGAAAGTATGTGAAATTTAATAAACCGGATTCATCTCCAAATTTACCACTCTTAAAGGTGGAACATTTTCTTCAAAATTTAAGACAAAAAACGCGTAACATACACACAAAAAACGGTCGACTTTTCCTTTAAGTAAAAATAATAAAACATGTACTCCAATCGCAATCATTAACGATTTAAAACTGTTTAATATTATTCATACATTATTTAAATAATGACTAAAGATTGCGTTTGTGTTTCATAATCATAAGCAAACTAGATATGTCCCACAGATGAGGCACTAAGCTGGCCCAATACTCGTTGGTTTTTGGGTTTACGACAATTATTCCGCGATTCTCTTTTAAGACATAGTGATGTTAACAAACGTTTTTCCCGATTTCAGGAAATAGATGAGTACATAGCTAAGGCCAAAGATCAGGGCTACCACACAGTCCTAAATCTAGGCACAAAAGGCGTCAACTATGCTACAACAGTTATTATGCAAACAGCCATCAAAGTAAGTGACAATTTTTAACCACGTCCAATAGACGCATGCTTACTACGATCCATTTCAAGTAATATCTGCCAAAGAATTCTACATTGCCATATTCAGTGAACTCATTGTACGTTATCAGAATGACTTGGCCCTCAGCCAAAGAAATATTGCATCGCTGATTATCGTATTTCATGGCAGATTTTATTTGATCTCAAAAAGCGAGGGTTATGGTGGACATTAACCCTTTACTAAAAGACACGAGTTAAGTGTTAATTCTGTTCGTCGTTTGCGCGCTACTTATTGTCACATAGAAGTGAGAAAACCCAACGGTGTGGCATGTTTGATTACAGATTGGAATATCACAAATATCGATTCACTCACACACTTTAAAGATGCTAATTTTTGCACAGCTTTCGATATATCGGACGCCCACAGTAATTCGCTTCAATACAACGGCAAATTCATTCACCTTTGTCATCAACCATGTCGCAACTATTTAGTCAAATTTGACAACATTACCGCTTAATTTTAATTTCTTTTTTTTGTGTATTTTAATTTTATTAACACGCTTTTTAATTTCTCCCCTCCCGACCTTATTCCTTTCAATTCCATTGCCGCTTCATGCAGAACTTCAATCTGCCGAGTCCTGAACAAGACAAAGAGCGCACTAGGGCCTTACGGGACCGTGACGTCACAGACTACCCGGAATCCTATGAAAATTTCAATTTCAACCGCTCTGGGAACAGCAACTTACCTGGAATCGTAGAAATAGTGGAACTAGACAATGCAGAGAACGATGAACAATTTTACGGGGGTGAAGGGGATACTGGAGATCCAGACTACGATCCGGGTTCCGCACGCAGTCGAGGCAATGTCATTCGAAAACGTAAAGTGGTCAAAGAAAAGAGGCCTCGCAGCAAATCTAGAGGCCGTAGGACCAGAAGTCAAACTGCACAAGAGAACGAAGTGAAAGTAGACTGAGTATACGATCTTTGAACGACAACTGTGATGCATAGGTGTTATGCTATATTTATCAACACACAATCCATCAACGCGGCCATACTACTAGGGTGTTTACCTCAATTTTTTAATACGTATTAAAGTTCGTTTTGCTTTCAATACATCGACTAAGATCAGTGCCTCTACTATAATTTTACTGTGACATTTATCGCTAGCGACCCCGTAAATTACTTCACAATTTTGTATGGCGAATTATACAACGCCTCTAGCGGTCACAGGAAGAAACTTTGTACACAAATATTTTACGCAGTCACTAGCGAGAACTGTCACTATAATCTCATTGTAGAGGCACTGGAATATTAACAGTGCAGAAATCCTCCATACCATATCAAAACTGCTCTTTGTATACAGCCATATGCCATCATTTAAATAATAGTATGTAATACATAATTTATTAATATAATAATTCGCCTCGTTCGTGAATTTCGTTTTTCTTAAAGGTTGTAGAGAATGCTTTTAGCATTAAGTCCGCCTTTTGTACCATTATGTCTTGTGGTCAATAAAGTTTTAATAAATAAATAAATATGGCGCCACTAACCTCATAAATAATTGCTCTTCTGAACTCCTATTAGGTACTATTATATTTAATTTAAATAACATCAAATACTCTATTCACGCAACTAATGTATGACTTGACTATCGAGCCCTAAGCCTGGCGCTGTTCACTCATATCACATAGAAAACTCGCCATATTATGGGCGCTATTGAAAGCGTGTTTACAAATATAGCATAGCACTAACTCGTAGATGAACTTAGGAAACTCTAGGTTAATTTTACTATAAAAAAAAAATGTCCCTGTGGTTCATAAATTCTGACGGTTTTCATTACAATGATTAATTGCATCACTTGATTTTGTACCATGTGCCAAAGTTTTTCAATATATTCACTTATGCAATTACTTAGTACATCCATTTTTTTATTCGATGTTAAGTTTACGTAGTTCACGAATACTTTATTTAAATTCGTTTTTCTTTTAGATTTTTTTTAAATTCATGTCATTTACAGTAATCCACTGTTTAATTTGTTCCTATATACGCAAAACGCACAATCTCAAATACTTGTACTTTTTATCGCATGACGTTTTTTCTAATGATTCTTTTAGTTATAGTACACTAGTTTAAAAGCGAGCATGTTTGTAAAAATCACAGACTATGTGTTGTGTTAGTTTTATAGATATTGTAACGTGTGACTGATTTAGTATAATGGATTCAATTCCTTCCAAATAAAAGTGTTAAAATTTATTTTATTGTTTGTTTGCGTGCGTTAAAGCAAGTCAGCTAAATATTTAGGAGCAATATGTAAGATCCTAATTTATTATCTAAGCACCTTTTAAGGTTATTTTTAATACACGAAACGACGTACTACGGTCCTCTGGAATTTTCATCCATTTGAGTCGAGATGATATTTTTATATTTTTTTTATTTTGTTTGCGATTTCAGTAGTTCGCGATATTAGGTTTTTTTAAATTGTTAACTGAATATGCTATTAAATGGATGTCCAATAATAAATTAGGTCTCTAGACTGCATGCGCTTAGCCTCAAGACATCACAAATTGTTACTCAACATAATCATGTAAGTACATACATTTCTTTATTTATTTATTAGTACAACATCTTATGCGGTTTACGAATACCATGCTAAATGGCATTATAATGGCTATAGCAACTTGTACCACAAGGTTTTTTTAAGGGCTATGCAATATGTCATTAAAATACATTTAGAAAATTGTATTAATCTTTTTTGATGGTTTGTAAGAAATTTACACAATTTGGTTACGTAAATATTATTTTGAACACATTGCAAACGCTTATTTGCGAGCAAAAAAACGCTATTTTTAAAACAAGTATACGTAGTAAATATAAATTCCGTTTATGACACAATTGTTGCGGTATAGCGTTCAACTTTTGTTTGGCAACATATTCAAATCATTTTGTCATCCGGCGAAATGCGACATTCATGAGCCGCTGAAATGTTGATAGAATTCTTACACTTACATCAAAAGTGATCTTTTATCACATTTCATGTGAGGATAAAGGGGAGAATTGATAGATAAAGGAATACGGACTACATTAAACAAATTATGTATATCGCACCAATGCTGTCATAACTCCAAGTTGTGGAATTGAGAAAATATGATTTCATAATTAAAAAAAGGTACTGAATGTATCTTATTGCGAATGTGATTATTTTATTTATGCATAGGTAATATTTAGTTGTCCATGTATATACGAGAATATATATATTCTCATATATAGATTTCATTAATTAATTATTTAAATTTTAAAATATTTGTGTTTTCTCAATTACACAATATTGAGTCAAGACAGTAGTTATTTGGTTTTATGTGTGATATGTGCAATTTTGTAACTATCTTATTTATGCATACAAAAGGTATCAACTGAGTTCGTTCATTAACTTTTAAATTCTCTCCTAAAAAGTCGTCATTTTGCAGATGTGCCTTGCCTTATAATATTCTTACACCAAGTAATTCCAATTGTTGCTTGGTAAATGGAATACCTGGCTTAGCTACGCAAGAAACATATACGACATACATACTAGCATAGATTTGCTCAAAAGCTACATGAGGAAACGGCCGTTTGGCGTCTTTTTTTATAGTATTCGTTTCGTGTATTACAAGGTCCTGCATGAACGTTTGAGGTCTGAAACAGGGTTGTTGCGAATAACAGCATCCACATCCGCGGATAATCAGTATGAATTAAAATATCAACATCCGCATTAATCGATGCTGATATTCGTTGCGGATGTTCGAATCACGGCACGCTGGAATAATTTACAACCCTTCCAGAAGTAGCCTAAGCGGAAAAAGCAGCTCGGCTGTTGTTTTTAATACATAACTTTGATAAAATTCCAGAACGATTAATCTAGGCAGATTAATTTTTCTCATGAAGATTGATTCTTTTCTTGTAAATGTAACAAAATAATTGAAATATTATTTTATTACAGTATCAAAGAAAGTAGAAAGCTTTTTCACGTAGTAAGGATATTACATTTTTCGCGTTTTTTATAAAGACATACAATCAGCATCCGCTGATGTGTAAATAACCTGCATCAGCATCAACCCTGATCAGCCCCCGTAGCATTATAATTTTTTTTTTTTTTTTTATTGCGACTCGACAAAATGACTGCACCGCGCCTGATGGAAAGTGCGAATACAGTCCAGAGATGAGAGTAACGGATGGAAAACACAAATATCTTCACTCCGTCACTATCATTTTGCCGGTCTGGCCAAATGCACTGGATGTACACCAACTGATCCCTGAACGCGATTCGCAAAAGCGTTTCACTGTGGAGGGTTTTCCGCCGTGTGTACTGTGGTCGCTATCCAGTCGGCACAGAGCCTACCACAATGCTAAGCAGATGGACACTTGTGACGCCCTCGGTCGCCTCTTACGACCCCCACGGGCATGTATGGGGAGGCGACAATGTATTCTTAAGCCGTCGCCCCACGGCTAAAAGCATGGCTACGCATGAGAATCCCGACGCGCGCGATGAAATTGAAATAAGCGCGCGCTATTGGCTGTCTCAAGGGTCGTATTCTAGAACTCTACTCAATGCTCAAGTCAGGATTTGAGTATGGTTTAAAGCACTTGATATCATACTCAAGTCCCTGCTGTTAGGGTCTTATTTCCAGTGCTTGTGTTTCCAGTGCAATCCTGACTTGAGCATTGAATAGAGCTCTAGAATACGACCCTTAATCATATCTAATTTAGATAGCTAGACGATAGATTATCATGCGTAGCCATGCTACGGGGGCTAAAATACACAAACGGTAATGAAACAATCATTCCGGATTTAAATCGCGTATATTTGTTTTTTCAAACAAGAACTCTTCACTAAAGTTCTTCAAAGAAGTTCTTTTCACTAAGAATTCGATATATACATAAACGGTTCCACTTCGTAAACATTGTCAGTGAAGGCGGGCAAATATAGCCTGATGATCAACTTTTTACCCAAATCTGTTTTATAGTACGGTTAAAAAATGTTTTATAACACAACTTCGCAGGGCGGTGGCGGTCTCGTACAGCAACTACGTAAAAGCTACAGTCTATCCGACCTTAGCGAGTGCGACCCGCGTGACGAGAGAGGCGCTGACGAAGCTGACGATGTGCTCACTGAACCTAGACTGATTCGCAGGGCTACTGCTAAGAGGTATCTACATGAATATATATTAATATACCTAGTTTGTAATTCAAATTAAAATTAATCTTTATTTCATAGGTAAGCATTATTACACTTGAAATCGTCACTATGGTTAAACTCTACCGCTCATTCGTAAGGCAGATTCCCTTGAGAAGAATGAGCAAGAAACTCTAGGGGTTGAATAACATTTGTAAACATTCAACATTTACAATATTGTTTTTTTTTTATTTGAAACATCAGAGATCGAGACTACCTCCATGAGCTAAACGGGTTACTACCACGGATTTTTGACATCCAAGTACGCAGAAGTTGTATAACGTTTAGTATAAAGTTTTAGTTACACTATAGTTTTAAACCTCGTGAAAGGCAAATTTTGTATATCAACCGGAATCTTGTTATAGAAGCGTATACATTGCCCCTTAAATGATTTTTTGACTTTGTGAAGACGACTATCAAGAAAAGCTAGTTTATTTTTATTCCTCGTATTAATGTTATATCTATCACTATTTTTCATAAAGAAATTACTATTCCTTTTGATATAAATTACATTTTCATAAATGTACTGTGAGGCTAGTTAGTGTAAGAATGTTAATTTCCTTAAACTTATCTCTCAAAGATACCTTGTAATACGAATGATCATTCTATACATTAATTTATGTTTGTCATAAATTGTTAAACCGTTACGAATCGTTTCCTTAAAACAATAGGCACTCACTCTCGAAATCACTACACTAAGCTTACTGAAACTCAACTCGGCTCTACGAGGGAGATATAAGTATTATGTAACGAAAAGAACGACGTTTCTAAAAGCAACCTTTAAAACGCACTGTTGTCGTTTCTGTTTCCTATGACAACAAATTTTTATTGTAAATCTCGAACTACAGATAACTTTCGTTACTTTTTAGTGGCTACAACACACGTCGCAGCGCGTCCGAGTCGAATAGCCGGTCCGCAATTTACTTTCCAGAGGTCGACGTCGATTTAAAGAGCGGCCGGCGATGCGAGGAGCCTAATTTTAGGTAAATTGCTATTAGTCATACTTATACGAGTACATTTATTTTTAAACTCCATAAAACATGCAGCAGCCCTCCTCTATGCCAAGGCGACAGAAAGTAGCCTTTTCCTAGAGATAGAACATCAAGTTACCCGAATTATCTGTACAGAGTGCGTTTGTTTCTAAGAGCTCGCGTATATTAAACGACATACACCGTAGTATTGTGACAAAAATTATTATTAATAAAAAGGTCGTGTTATAGTAAGTCCAACATGTTTCCTCTCCTATCCTAAATGATGTTCCTCAAACATAGCAGAAGAATCGTGTTAAAATAATTTATTTTCGTTCCAGTCATATAAAATCCAACGAAGACATAAGTTCGGGCTACTCAAGCGCAGACAATTCCGCGTCACTCACGCGGACAGCTTCAGTCGGTGCTGCACAGCGCGCAAAGGCCCGAACAACGCGCACGACTGTCACCACCATTAAGCGACCGCAAGCTGCCGAGGTCTGGTAATCTTTGTTTATTGAGCGGGGTCTTTAAAAATGTTCTTGTTATTTCGTTTACGGCAACTAAATTTGAGATAATAATCAATTAACTATGATAATCTAGGATTTGCGTAAAACCCTTGAAATTACGAGAAGCTGTTGACTAAGTAACATTTTTCTTTACTCAAACTTGTGGAAATTAGGAAAAAATGTAATGACTAGCATAAGGTTTAATATACATTGACTAACAGTGGAATGTTCGACATTTTGACTAAAGCTTGCTTTTAAAGTGCAAATGCCATGCTACCTAACCAGCACAGCACATTGTGCGCGGTCAAAAAAAAATTTTTTTATATTAATTGTAGCAATAAAATGTTAAAGGATAGATTATAATAGGAGGTAATAGAGAAGACGCTTCATTTTAGGGGAACAAAGCAAGCACTTGGTGTAGTTAAAAATGTTGGACGCAGTAGATTGTGGGTACGATACTATAAAAAAGAAAAATTAAACAAACCCGACTACGACTCGAAATGCGTATACTGAAAAGTTTAATTGAATTTTGACTCACATTACTTCAAACACATCGAGTCGCAGATTCTATTTCTTTGTTTCCAAATCTTTATGACATTTGGCAGTCACATTAAGGATTTTCAGAAAAGTATCTAGATTCATCAAGAGTGGACTTTTCGCCGCAGATAAAATTACAACCCTCTCTTTGACAACGTCGTAGTTGGGTTTCTTGAATAATCTATATTCCGAATGTTACAACATTCGGAATACCAACAGTATTCCGTTATCAGTTGTCAGGGTAGAAATTGGTGCTGGTGTAATGATTGTAATAGAGATAATAATAAGATCATTATATTCAAGTTGGATATTAAGCGCTCAAAAATACAAAATGACACAATAAAATGCTTTTAGCTTCACTATTGTAGACGGTTGTGTGGTGTTAAGATTGTAATGTTAAAAAATATATTAATCAATTACCAACATATACTTAAAATTGGTAGTTAGTAGATAGAAAATTAATAAGGAATCTTGATATTTAAAACTTCAAGACTCCTTAGCCGTCGACATCAGAGGATGTTCGTAGCATTCTGTATTATTTTGTTTTATCTTCTGTACCTACGTTAAAGGCTGATAAGTTAGCTTTGGACGTTAATATTGACTTTTTCCTTATCATCAGTAGAAAAACAAATGGTTCTCTCAAAATATACATAATGGCGAATGTCCTACTGTACCTTCTCAGCCTTTGTAAGTAGTAGTAGATGTACAGCATGATAGGAATTATTTCCTTTTAAATCTATTTATAAGTCTGTTAATGCATTTATTATTTTTTATTTTGATGAAGACTTAAGGACTTTTTATTTAAAGGATAATGAAGTTATCATCGAGGAGCTACACGACGACGAATTTGATTATACGAATATGCCTGCCCTTTTGAACCTTCCTTCCCAGCTATACCTATCCAATACCGATCCTCCCTTCATATATCAATGCGTAGGGAATCAAATTAAAATTGTTCAAGTACTAGGTAATACTTCATCGAATACTAGCGAACGAGTCTATAATGATAACGATCAATGGGACCAAAACAATTCAAGCTTTGAAGATGCTTCACCTATAATGGATACAATAGACAACCAAAAGACAGAACAATCTAACGACATAGCGGATATTGAAATTAAAGATTGTTATACAAAAAACAATGTTTCTAAAGACAAATCCGTGGAAATGGTCGAAAATAAAACAAATATTGTGCCCATTATTGGAATAGAAGAAGACGAAAACGCAGAAAGCTCTGTTTTTGTTTCTAACGTAGAATTGAAAACAGTCAAAGAGAGTGATACAGCCGATATTCGACCAAATGTTGACGATGCTGATTCAAACACAACTACCATTGATAAAGTTGAGGAACCTAAACAATCACAAAATGTATGTGTTACTGTGACAGAAGATCCAATTGAATCAACTAGTCTCGATACGTCTTTTAATGATGTCGACTCTATGGACAGTGACGATGAGGCCTCTTTTGGAACACCTGAGGATTCACCAAAAACTAAAAGACGATCTCCAAAAGGACGATATGGGAAAAGCAAAGCTCCACCACCACCGCCAGCGAAATCGGAAAACTTTGAAACTACCATAGACGTCAAAGAACAAACTGATAATATCCTCACGGATACCCTAAGCACAACATCTCAAGAGAGTTTAGTTGACATTGTAAACAATCTTCCTAACAATAGCTTAAAAGAAAAGGGCACATCAAAAGGTTTACAAGTAGTCAATCCTATAGCGGAAAAGAAAAGACGACATAAATCAAAATCTCCAGGAAGAATTCCAAAAGGCAGTTCGTCTAGTATCGGAAAGTTGTTACAACTACCAGGCAAATTTGCTTTTTGGAATAAAACTGATGATAAAAATAAAGACAACGCTTCAACCTCGTCTGAAGATAAAAGTTCTTCACAGAGATCGTCATCTAATGAAAAGCGTATTGACGAATCTCAATGTTGCAATAAATTAAACGACGCACAAAACGATGCGAGCATTGAACAGATTAGTCTGAAAGAATCCGAAGATGAGAAACAACAGACCGAAGGAGCTGAGGATCAGTTGAGTTTTAAAGATGCAAGTGATTTTGAATCTGAAGCTATATCGCATGAAGTAATGGAGAAAAGCGATGCTCTACAAAAACTCATTGACGCTAAGATAGAAAGTCATCCGGAATATAAAATCGTTTCTTTGCATGAAGAAATTTTGACTACTTCAAAAAGCACTGATGTTTAAGGCTTTCCTTGTCCTGAATCCAATTTTCACAGCAGCAGAAATAGAGGGAAACAGTATGTTTTATTTTCTTTTGTTTGCGTGGGTTGTTTTGTCCCTGTGTCTATCTGTGCATGCTGTTTCTTTTTGTAAATCCAAAGAAGTACCAACAAGAACCACTTTGTATATTGTTTTCTCAGCATTTCATTGCAAATAACTAATTTAAGCTTCACTTCCTCTAATATTAGTTCTACCGTAGATTAATATGTTAATGTAGATGTTTTAGCTTGTAATATTATTGATTTTTTTTAGAGTGTGTTTTGATATTTATGTATTTTATTTTAAAACTATTACTACGACGTAACAGTTAATCCTTGTGAAAGTATATTATTTGATTACATTTAATAAAAATGAGGTGCAACATTTAATGTTAATTATTGTGGAGGGTCGTCGGAGCCGTCAAGGGCCATGGCGCTTTTGAATATGGGGGCCAACAGACAAGTTATTCGAAAAATTCAGTTGATATAATTATCAACGAACCAACAAAACTTTTAGACATTGATGGAGTAGCAAGGGTATGTTCCACAAATCCCCACTGGTGGGGATCCTAAAGTTTTATAAACATTTTCACTATGCCATCGACCCAGCGCGTGTTTTCTTTTAAAGAGTGTAAAAGCTTAAATACGTGTTCAGTGTTTGCGTAGCAAGTACTACGCCAGGTGAGGATTTGTGTTTTAGTGGAGATTTATGGAACATATCGTAACAAGAGTTCTCCTATCATAAGAACGGTTTTCAGAGTAATATTAATTTTGTACCTCAGTTTAGATGTGCTTATTGCTTTTTAGCAATTAGTTTTTCAATGATTCCCTTTTATTTTCAGGCAATGCTGTCAGCCTCTGCTACTATACCCCGCGTTAAAAAATCCACTAAGAGGAAAACTCAATAGGCAATGTCTAAATAAGTATATTTATTTTACTTTTAATATATTTTTTATGGTAGTCGGTTTTTTATTCCGGCAGATCTAATGCAAATACGAACCTCAAGTCAAATAAATATACGTCACACATAGGTACTACACAAGTAAATACAAGAATGAATGACTTCCCAAAGATGAATGTAACGTACTATTAAAAACATTGTCCCGTAGCCGTACTTGAAATCGTAATTTTATACTCTCTTGGAATAAAATATTATCTAGAGCCATTTAAGCTTATTATACCATAGATTCCAGTTTTCAGAGAGCATAAAATTGATAAACTATACTTCAAAGCCTGTAAATTACTTGATTACTATTTAAAAAATACATATTTATAAAAAATATATAATAATAACTGTGTGAAACAATGATATTATACGGTGTGAAATATTCTATTTTTATTTTAATGAAAAGTTTATTTGTAGTGTGTATTTGATTTCGCTCGCTTTTATTTCTGCGTAAAAAAATATCCATAATGTTTTTGTGTTGTATACATTATGCATACAATGCATAAATTGATGATTATGAGAAATTAATTCTCAAAAATTTGTTTTATTGTTAGAGGTCAAGTATTAAAGATCTCGATTGTATCTATGATTTTTTCGAAACTACTATCACACACATTGTGTTTTGCAACATACATAAGTAAATAATTTCCGTTGTTTCTTATTTCTAAATGTGTATACGTCATTTGACCTAAAAAGTATTGGTACTCGTATACTTTTACTGTTTTATTGATTACTGATTACAATACTTTATGGGTTCCATACAGCTAGCTATTTTTAGACAGAGAATAAAGAATAATTTTAGATTTAGATATGCGTTATTTTACATTTTAGGAAAAAATCATTTTACAAGCAATGTTCCTGGATTATTTACATCATTGGTGATTTTTCTTTTTAGCCAAAATTTGCCAAATGTGAAACATGAAACGACTCAACAATTAGCAAAAAGAATATTTTGTTAGAGTAGTTAATATTTATTACTAATTAGTTGATAGAATCAAAACTAGTCGATGAAGTAATTACCTACTTACGCAAATAAGGAAATCAGCTTCAATGAGGCTTTCATATCGTCTTGTATAGTTTTTAACATCTCGTAGAGTTATGTTATAAGCTTCGTAAATATACAGATTGTTCGGTAGATCTCGTGTAGTTCGCGGATAGCGCTACATACCTGTACATACCCATATGTTGCCAATTTAGTGGTTTTATAAGTAGGGTAAATAATTATTTGAGCAGGTTTTCATGTTAAGAGATTTTGGGTATTCAAAACAACATTGAAAAACGCTACAAAGAGCTGTACAACGTTGATGTACGGACAACGGCACATCAGACTACACATTTTTGTTCAAAAATCGCTTCCAGTACAATGGAACAAGATACGTCAATGTGTAGCTTGATGTGCTGGCGTGTGTACAATACCTGAGGGCATCACGGCGGATATGCCACATAGCACGGTCCAAATAATGTTAGTGGAAATTGCAGACATTTTTGCCAGAAGTGGACTATAAAATATTTAATTTAATAGGATCTGGATTAAACATATTTAAAACTTCTCGTTAATCCAATACCATCGAACAAACGAGCCAACCTGTGTATTTACGGACCATGGCAGTGTTACATAATATAATATTTATTAGAATTCAACTTCCAAAATTGTTGCAAAAATGCTAAGGCTGACATACAATATAAAAAAGATTTTGTTTCTCTGTAGTTGTTGGCTTAGTTTGTATGTTGTGTTATGTATGTGATATATCTAGCCATAATTATAATAAGGGTTACCGAATTTCGACCGAATATGTTTCAACACAGACATTTTGTAGTTTGGTAATGTTCTCTACATTGGAATAAATGATAATATTTTCTATTTTGTTTAGTAAAAAAATGTTCCTGAGAAATTATGCCTATAAGTACCTATTATGTATTCAAATAAATATAATTCTTAATGAGTAAATGTACTTCATGGAATTTCCTTTGTTTTTCATGTGTGCTATTTGATTTCCAATTTGAGGGCAGCATTTTGTACTGATTTGAAGTTACATTGTAATTTTGTTACCATTGTTGTATGAAAAGTCCATTAAATAAATGACTCTGTCTATTTGCATATTTAAGTTTGAGTTTATGAAGTTAAATAAATATTGTGAAATTCTATCTTTTATTTCATAATTACAATATGGCTCCACTTTTTAACCTCAGCGTATCAAAGATGTATTTGCCATGGTCACTTTTATAAACATTGTCAAGTAACTGTTTCTCCAGTAAATTTAAAGATTCGTTGTCCCAATTTTTTATCCAATATAGTAAAGAATACAGCTTGTGATGCCCACTTGAACCATCACTAACATCTGATATGGAGAGCTTTGGTAAATTCTCTATAATGCTTTTAAGCTTTGGTTTAACAACTGTGTTGAATGTGCCGTTGTTTCTTGTAGCAAATTTGTACATTATATCAATTGTTTGTGTAGTTACCGTGTCTTGTAATAAAATATCAGGTAAGTTATTGAGCCACTTTTCATATGCCTCGCTATTGTGAAAATGTCCAAGTTTCTCATTCAGAGCAATCATACAAAGCAATGCAAAGATTTTTTGTTTGAACTGATTTGACATATCTTTGTTAAAATAAGCCCAGATTATTTTCCTGAACAATGCATCCATGACTGACAAAGTTTTCGTCCAACTTGTGACTTCTTTTGAAAATATTGTATGCAAAATCTTAATCACAACATCATTTATGTAGTCTCGTGTGTTCTGATTAAATGTCTTCTCAATATAATTTAGAACAGAAGATATTTCTCTATTTTGGCTCTTGATGTTGACATAGGGATTGAACATTATAAACAAATGACAGATTTCAAGGTTTTGTGCTACCAATTTGGGATCAGTAATGCTATCTTCAAATGGTAAATTCCCAGTTGTAACCTGTCTTGATTTTATGTTTGTTACAAAAGGAAAAGGATGCACAAAGTGCTGGTTAAAGGGTTGCCTGTACTTAATACAAAAGATTTTCTGTATATCAGAGTTAGGGTTCTTCTTATTCAAATACTGAACAAGTTCCCATAACAGAGAAATAATTTCAAGTGTATGCTTTAATAAAATTGCTGCATCTTCAGATACAACTGTTTCAATATTCATTTCAGAATTCACATTTGGGCATACTTCTACCCAAGTCTCAAATAGTAGAGGCATCAATGTTTCCATGTATTCTTTAAATTTCTGCACTTCATCTAAAAGAACGACATCATGCAAATTCCTTGATGAAAAACAGGTTACATAACACACGGAAGTATAACTTTGATTGAACAGTGAATAATTATTCATTTTTGTATAGTCAAAAAACTGTGTGTTCTTCACAGCTATCTGATCTGTCATGTGTATATTATTATGATCAACAAATTTATGTAGAAACTCTTGTAAACGGTGCAAGACTTTGACTCTCCATTTTACACTAGTTATTTGGCTGTTTAAATTGACTGTTAAAGCCCTTCCTGGTTTAGAATCAACTCGTAACTTCGAAATCATGTCTAGGAAGTTAGGAATTATTTTGTAGAAGTCTTTAGCCACTTTCTCTGGTGAGCAAAGGAGTAATACATCTAGGAATAGAAGTGAATCTTCTTGTATTCTGTTGTCAATATGAGTCATTGCACTTCTGAGGTATGTAGACATGATGTCAAAGAATGGATCAAGCTTCTCTTGTAGTATGTTAGACAGTATTAAATGCATTACTTTAAGGGCCTCACGACGCACCTGAAAATGAAGATTATATAATATTTTGTCAATTAAAATAGCTTTTCGAGAGCAGTTTACAAGGACTCAACACATTTACAGCTACATCTTATACATTGGTGCATTCAAATAGTTATATAGTTGTATACTACGATGAACATACATTCAAGAAAACTAAGAGTCAAAGCATGTGAAATTACTATATAGTAATGTAGTCAACAGTACATACCACTCTTTCTATATTTAGTAACAACGGAGCTACACCGAGAATAAACTGTCCAAGATTCTGTTCCAAAACTTCAGAATGAGTCGATATAATTTCCTTCAACCCATTAAGAGCTTCTGTTCGAGAATGTGTGTTAAAATGATTTAAGCGGGACAAAAGTTCCTTGGCATTCAGTTTTCTTGTAGATAACACTTCAGAATCTGCGTGCTTCGTTAGCTGTTCCTTTAAAACTATCTTCTTTACTTTGAAATTCGTCTTCGTAACATTCGTACCTTTAGGTAAATCTTTCTTAGCTTTGAATTTCGTTTTAGACTTTTCTGATTTAAGGAATTTTTGGTAGCGTGTGGCGCCCGTCTTCGGCATTTTGTAAATATATAGTTTCACACACTTCTCTGTTTTCGTAATACTTTGTTTTAATAATTTGTTATAGAAAACCAAAGGAATCAAACAATTTTTTCGTGATTGTAAAATTATTATTTAAGGTTAGGTTAAATTTTTTAATTTAATTGAGATTTGGCTTACTACAGTTTTCATTGCACTCTTTCTGAAAAAATAATCAAACATGTACCAGTTTCTAAACGAAATCATGAAGTCGATTTCGATAATAGATTTACAATATATTTTTTGCTCGTAGTAAAAAATAAAGTGCTATTAAACATGCTATGGAATCTGTTGTATTCATCCGACATCTCAAGTCAATAAAAAAAAGAAAAATAAAATTTAAAAAAAATATTCAGAAAAGAAAAATACTTTTCTGAATATTTTTCCTTCATTTTCCCACATTTGATAGCTAACACCTGTCAACAGTTGAACATACTGAACGAAAACAATGAAACCAAATCATAAAGGATGGAAAAAATTTTAGATTAGAGAAATCAAAGGACACACGGAAGAATTATGTATACTTAGAATAATAACGCATAGAAACCTAGTCCGTACACGCTAAGTGAGGCAAATTGAAGCGCTTCCAATGGGCCTACACGAGCGGGCGGGCCGTCAGTGCTCAAGGTCAACTTGCACCGCAAACAGCTCAAGAATTTTAGCTAAAAATGACGAAATGTGCGGTAAATGAGTGTGAAAATAAAATAAATACTAACATCACATTCCACAAGGAAGTAACGCGTTTCAACTTGTATTTTTATGTAAATATTCACTAAAACAGAAAATTAATTTCGTTGCAACAAGACACGAAAATGTTGCAAAGTAACGGATTTCTATCTCCCAATTGTGCTATTCTGTTTCAAAATAATTATATTACCTAATTTTTTGAGAATAGGCAATATCGCGATGGCAGCAGATTTTTTAAAATTCTAATGTAAGTGTGCATTTGACCACCATTTCTGCAAGTTGAATGCGTACAAATGTTTTTTACAAAGAGCAACCCCTAGAGTTTCTAGCTCATACTTCTCGGGGGAATCTACATTACGAATGAGCGGTAGAGTTTAACCAATGTGACGATTTCAAGTGTAATAATGCTTACCTTTAAAATAAAGATTATTTTGATTTTGATTTTGATTCTGGGTATCGTTTATGAGATATTTGGGGGTGCTCATTACGAATATAGCACTTTTTTCTAAATCCAAGATGGCGGACTCGATTTTTCAAAAAATTTCAATATGGGTATCATTTTCGATGTATTTGGGGGTGCTCAATACGAATATGGCACTCATTTTTAAATCCAATTCGTAATGTGCACCCCTAAATACCTAGAAAACGTTACCCAACTTGCCATTATTCGAAAAATCGCGCCCGCCATCTTGGATTTAGAAATGAGTGCCATATTCGTAATGAGCACCTCGAATACCTCGAAAATGATTCCCATATTGCATTTATTTGAAAAGTCGTGTCCGTCATCGTGTATTCAGATATAAATGCCATTTCCATAAGGATTACCAAAAATAAATTTTTGAAAATTCTTGTCACTTGACATTGTCGATCGACAGTAACGATCGACAAAACCGAGCATATCTGTAGGCACCTGATCGACAAGTCGATCGACAGTAACGATCGACAAAATCGAGCAAATCTGTAGGCCTGATCGATAATGTCGGGCAAATCTGTACGCACGTTTAACTTAATGATGAGTTAAGCAAGATACAATTTCCCCACTTTTGAGGGAAATGTTATTCCATGACATCATTATTTGTATATTTGTGTGCGTGCCGACGAGCGTAGATACAAGTTGCTTACGCCTACATGAATTTGATTTTTGCCTCTCTTGTGACAGTTCGTTTGATATGAAACTATCATTCTATGCGTTATTATTCTAAGAATGTATATATGTATGTATTAATTATTAGTATCTGTTTGCTAGAAGTAAAATAAAAGTTGAAAAAAGGAAAAAAGTTGCTCTTCTAGAAGAGCTTTTACCAGGAAAGATCAATTACTGAAATCCTTCCGGTGAACTGCGTGATGCCGTATTTGTTTATTTTTAAATCATTCCTTCTTCATTTTATTGTTTATGCAGTAGCCCAAAACCTTTTATTCGTTCTTAGCATTTCTGGTAGCTAGTAGTGGAAGTAAATAAAATGTATGCTAATCTTTTTATTATCACAGACTTTTGAATTTACACTTTACACACCGCCATTACTCTTCTTTTTTTTTAACAGCTTCGACTCTTAACACGCTAGGGGTCGTATTCCAGAAGTTTACTCAATGCTCAAGTCAGGACTTGAGCATGACTTAAAGCACTAGAAATCGTACTCAAATTCTTGCCAGTAGGGTCGAAATTCCAGTGCTTGAAATCATTCTCAAGGGAATACGACCCTTAGGGTCGTATTCCAAAACTCTATTCAATGCTCAAGTCAGGATTTGAGTTTGATTTCAAGCACTGCAAATACGACCCTAAGCGCAAGGACTTGAGTATAATTTCTAGTGCTTTAAATCATACTCAAGTCCTGACTTGAGCATTGAGTAGAGTTCTGGAATACGACCCCGAGTATAGATCCGTCGATTTGAGCATTGATTAGAGTTCTAGACCCTAAGGGTCGTATTCTAGAACTCTACTCAATGCTCAAGTCAGGATTTGAGTATGGTTTATAGCACTCGAAATCATACTCAAGTCCCTGCCATTAGGGTCGTATTTCCAGTGCTCGTGTTTCAATAGCAATCCTGACTTGATCATTGAGTAGAATTCTAGAATACGACACTTAGGGTCGTATTCTAGAATTCTACTCAATACTCAAGTAAGGACTTGAGTATTGCAGTGAGCACTGAAAATCATACACAAGTCCTTGCCATTAGGGTCGTATTTCCAGTGCTTGTGCTTCCAGTGCAATCCTGACTTGAGCATTGAGTAGAGTTCTAGAATACGATCCTTAGAGTCGTATTCTAGAACTCTACTTTCTGGTCGAAGGTCGTACTCAATACTCAAATCAGGACTTGAGTATTGCAGTGAGCACTGAAAATCATACTCAAGTCCTTGCCATTAGGGTCGTATTTCCAGTGCTTGAAATCATACTCAAGTCTGCTCAAATCCTGACTTGAGCATTGAGTAGAGTTCTGGAATACGGCCCTAAGGGTCGCTCAATACTCAAGTCAAGAGTTGAGTATTGAAACATATTTACTGAAGAAAAGAAACTAATAACTAGGCAGTATGGTCTCTGATCTTCGCCTGTTCCAAACGGCACGAAGGAAAAAAGAAACAAAAACTTTATTATTCCTTGACGGAAAAAAAAAAGGGCGCCAAGCTTCAAAGTAGTTTGCTTTATTTTAATTAATTTTGAAAAATTACTTTTAAGCCCTTTTTGATTACAAATTACTGTCGAATTTACTTGCATATCCGTTACTATTAATTGGGTAAATGAGTGTCTCCAGTGACGGCATCGTCCGTCCTGGAAAAAGGAAAAACGATGAGAAGAGTGACTTCGTAGAATCTCCTCCCACGAAAATGGCGGCAAACTTTTCTCGAACCCGTAGAGGACTTTTCAGAGATTATAACCACATTTACACCGATAATGATAAGAAAGAGTATACAATCCTACTTTCATCGAACAATGGCCAAAATAACAAAATGGATTTACTCAAAGTTAATAATGTTTTGAAAACTACATCTGGAGTTATCTACGTCAAACAGGTCGGACCTGCACTTGTTAAAGTATTTTTTAACAACAAGAAGGACGCTAATAACTTTTTGCTTAACAAAAAGGCACTGGAAAAATTTGAATGGTTAGCAAGAATTCCATACAATAATCTCGAAAGCCAGGGCATAATACGAGCACCTGTTGATATTTCTGAAGAGGATTTATTAGAAAACTTGAAGGCTGCAACTGATATCATCGGAGTCAAACGTTTCAACCGTAAGATCGCAGATGACTCCTGGGTTCCAACACCGACAGTCTTAATAACTTTTTTAAGTTCAACAGCGCCTGATCACGTCACGTTCGATCATATTTGGTTTGATGTGAAGCAGTATATCAAGCCGTTACTTCAATGTTTCACATGCTACAAATTTGGCCACAGCAGAGGGTCCTGCAAAAGTAAGCAAATCTGTTCAATTTGTACAGGAAATCACTTCTTCAAAGACTGTGACAACAAAGACACTGTCAAATGTGTAAACTGCAATGGCTCACATACAGCAGTTTCAACACTTTGTCCGCAAAAAGCTGCAAAAGTTGCTGAAATAAAAGGGAAAATAAAAGGTAATGTAACTTACGCCACAGTTGCTGCAAAAGTTAAAACTACTTCCGATTTGTATTCTAATCAAATTCCAAACAAAAGGGCTTTATTTAGTGATGTAATTAACTCCGTTGACATATTGGGTGTTATGATTAAAACTGTAATAGATGTTGTTAAATTACATAATACGAAAGATACTAGTAGTCCAGATCCTATCTCTGCAAAATCTATAAAAGAGTTGTTGATTACCAATTTTGCTGCACATAAATAATGGATAGCACTATTGGTGTTGGACAATTAAATATACTACAATGGAATTCTCGTAGCATCTTACCCAAATTAGACCAACTCAAAAATTTTGTTTATAGCAGTGATGTAGATATAGATTTGATCCTCCTCAATGAGACTTGGCTGAATCTTAATAAAATTTTTAGACTACCTGGTTTTAATATAGTGAGACGTGACTCTGACCATCCACATGGAGGAGTTGCAGTGGCAGTTAAGGACAAGTATAGTTTCTCCACTATTGCAACATCTTCAGATTATCATTTTCAAAACATATTAATCTCCCTCAAACTTCATGTATTTTCTGTAGACATATTATGTGTGTATATGCCTCCTCCTCCCAACGGGAAATTTAGAATTCAACAGTTATCAAGTGCATTGACGAAAATCGCTAACAGACATTATTTAGTTATAGGAGACTTTAATGCTCATCATACTTCATGGGGTTCTAGAAATAATGATCGCAGAGGTAATAGCTTACACTCACTAACAGAGACCCAAAACCTAGTCTGCTTAAATGACCACACCACCACTACCTTGGCTCCTTTTGGACAGCAAGGTAATGTCTTGGATTTGGTAATTGCTTCGCAGTCGATAAGTTCCAGTTGTTCATTATCGGTTCTTGATGACCCTCTCAGTAGTAATCACTTCCCGCTTTTATTGAATGTTATTTACAACACCGGCTCCACGGGTGCTGTCACACGAACTCAACCCAATTATGTATCGCCTCCGATAAATTCTTTATCTGAAATTAATTTTAAAAAGATTGATTGGTCTAAATTTACTGAATTGTGCAATGAAAGATTTTCTTTTAATCCCAATACAGATCCATTACAAAATTATAACAACTTTGTTTCTAAATTAGTTGACATTTTATTGACATTCCGTAAAAAAGTATATCCTTGCCACAGAAAACGTAAACCTTTACTGTGGTGGAATGACATATGTAACCAAGTTGTGCTTAGAGCCAAATTGGCATTGAACTCGTTTAAAAAGTATCCCACTATGGAAAATTTCATTTTATACAAGAACTTTGATGCTAATAAAAAAAAAATCCTAACAGAACAAAAAATATTAGCATGGACTAACTTATGCTCCTCTTTTAATCGAATGACTCCCACTAAAGTTATTTGGGACTATATTAGGCGATTCAAATTCTCTAAACTAAATTCAACCGCTAATACTAATACACTTTTTTTGGAAGATCCAGTTAATGCTTTAAACTTTCTCAACAAAATTGCTTCTCGCGACAGCATCGCCATTGATATGCGTGAATTACAAATTTATTTCTTATCTCCTGGTGCTGACTCAGCACAATGGCTCACCTCTAATTTTCAAATGCATGAATTTGATGCTGCTCTCATGTATAAAAAAAATACTTCCCCGGGTCCCGATTTCATTCCTTATTTAGTGATAAAAAAATTACCATCCCAAGCTAAAATCATTCTTCTTAAAATTTTTAATCAATTATGGCTTAATAATTCTATTCCCCCTGTTTGGAAAGATCAACATGTTGTTCCAATTCTTAAACCGTACAAGGATATTCATAGCTTAGATGCATATAGACCCATCTCGTTGACATCGTGTTTTTCTAAATGTTTTGAAACTATGATCAAAAATAGGTTAGAATGGTATATTGAAAGCAACAGTTTGATTCCGGAGTTCCAATTTGGTTTCCGCAAAGGGAAATCCACCATGTATAACTTGGGGTGTTTAATAGGTGATATAAAAAGGAATATGAGGCGTAACAAATACACTCTTGCTGTTTTTTTGGACATCAAAGGCGCATTTGACAATATAAATCATGCATATCTTATCAAGAGTCTCTCTTATCTGGGCATTCCAGGCCCCATTCTATTGTGGATATTTTCATTCTTAAATGGTAGAAATATTTCTTTAAAAATTAAAAATAATCTTTTTGGCTGTAGAACCACAAATAAAGGTACTCCTCAGGGTTCCGTTCTATCACCTTTGATTTTTATATTGAGCCTTGTTAATCTCATGAATCAAATTCCAATGTCTGTGAGATATTCATTTTATGCAGATGACTTAGTAATTTATCTCGAATGCGACAATATATACGTTGGACAAAAAAATATGAACAATTGCCTTTTTACATTACATAATCTATTGTCGACCCAATTAATGTTAGAAGTTAATACAAGTAAAAGCTCAGTCATGCTTTTTGCGGCAAAATGCTCATTTACGCCCAAAATTTATTACAATGACTGTTTGCTTCCAGTCCAATCTAAAGAAAGGTATTTGGGTATTATATTGGATCCTCAATTAACTTGGGAACCACATATTCTACATATCTGCAAAAAGACTGAGTTAGGCTTAAATATCCTTAAATCTCTAGTGGGGTTGAAATGGGGAGCTGATCCCAAGATTTTAAAAGTCTTGTATATTGCTGCCATTCGCAGCCACTTTGACTATGGATGTATGTTTTTTGCCGATGCTGCTAACCATTTACTCAGAAAGCTAGAAATAATTCAAAATAGAGCTTTGCGAATAATTTCAGGAGCTATGATGTCTTCCCCTATTAATTCCCTTGAGGTAGAAACAGGTGTAGTTCCTCTTATTGTCAGGAGGAGCTTTTTAACTGAGAAGTTTTGTCTTAGATTAGTTAGCTGCGACAATCCTGTAATTTGTAGTTTTTTAGAAGACTATGATATTCCTGACTTTAATACAGCTCCTTTAACTGCTACTACGACGCTGAGCCAATCTATTGCATATCTAAATTTTGAATTTCAGAATGCAATTTATTGGTCTCCAAAATTGCCTTGTTTTAACTTCGACTTTCACTGTTTAATTATGGATATATTAGTAAATACATCAAAGTTTAGGAACAAATTTGAATTTTATGAGTTTATAGATGCTAAGAAGGATTACATTAAAGTGTATACAGATGGTTCTAAAACTAAGGATAGGACAAGTTTTGCTTTTTATAATTCTTATTTAAAATGCGGAAGAGTTTTTATTTGTAATAATTTATTTTCTATTTTTTCTGCTGAGGTTTTGGCAATGATTTATGCTATAAACTATATTTTAAATTCTAACTTTAGTATTTCTAAATATTTGATTTTGTCCGATTCTTTGAGTGCACTGTTGTTATTGAAAAATAAGATCATTGATAGCCGTGTTAATTACTTAATTTACTACTTAAGAAATCTAGTTAACGAAATGTGCAATAAAGGTTTCACTATAGAGTTCTGTTGGGTTCCGGGACACTCCGGTATATTTGGAAATGAACTAGTCGACACCCTAGCAAAATCGACAGAAAATGTAGACTACTGTGATTTTAAAGTTCCTCATTCAGACTTGGTTTTATGCCTTAAGGAAAATATGATCAAAAGATGGTGTCTCACTCTAAATTTTACAAGAGAAGTTAAAGGAAAGTGGCTTGCCGAGATAGTCCCGGTGCCTTCAACCAAGGCTTGGTTTGAAAGATATCCCACATATATAGGTAGAGATTTTATAACGACTCTAAGCAGACTTCGCATAGGTCATTGTAAGATCCCTGCACATTTATTTAGGTTAAAGTTAAATAGTAACTCGTTATGTACATATTGTTCCCATAATTACTGTGACCTTAATCATTTGTTTTTTGACTGCCCACAATTTTCTTTACAACGTCTGTTACTTATTTCTTTAACTCAAGACCTTCTCCAATATAAAACAATTCCCAGTACTGTACAGGAGTTTTTAAAGCACACAAGTTTATATAACGTAATATTTGAATTTGTAAATAGCACCTTTAAAATAGTGTAAGTTGTCTATATTTAATTTATTTTTTTAACTTTCATACTGTAGTAGTTAGTTTTTTTTTATGACATTTAAAACTCTGTAATAATTATAATAATTCATGTTTAGGCTGATGGCTTTGCCAAAGCCTTAATAAATTAAAAAAAAAAAAAAAAATTATTCCTTGACGTCGACGTTCGTTTATAAATAAAAAAACACAATACTAGGCTAGGGATGCTTGTCAAAAAATAAAAACCAAGCGTCACAAGCGCACGTGTTGTTTGAGATTCTACTATAAATATCAATTAATTCTGCAAAATGAAGATCAAGAAGCAGCACCGGAAGAAAAAGTATCTACACAAATTAAACAGGAAGCGAATGCATAATAAGCAGCGGAGTACAGGAGACGTGCCATGGTTAATATTTTCTGCTATTTCATGAGTAAAATTTCTTTCGTTTTCTGCAAATAGTAGATGTTTGTTAAATAGTAACGTGTACAACATGTTTTTTTACAGTAAAACAATTAAAGAAGCTTGGGATCACAAGAAATCTGCGCTACGAAATCTTAAAGAAATGGGGTTAGCAAATGATCCTAATACGGTGATCAAAATACCAAGTTTTAAGAAAGAGCAGCTGAAGAAAGCTAAACAGATGGTCAACCAAGATGATTCCGAGAGTGAAGAAGAGGTAGTCCCTCGAAAACCACCAAAAATGGAGGTTGTAGAGAAATTAGAAAAGGAAGCTAAAGCACCTAAAGAAAGACGGTTTATGTAAGTCTATCGCGCGCAAATTATAGTACCTACTGGATTACTTTTCATTAATTTAATATAATATGCCTCTTTGATCCAATTGAAAAATTGTTACATTTAATTTCATTTGTTTGCACATAAGGTCTGACACTGAAATGCACATTTCGATAGCTCCAATTACGTCAACTTAATTTTTTACCCGTTTGTTCTGTTTTCAATTTGTTTTTGTTTATTTTTTACAAAATTTGTTTATTTGGTTTTTTATAGAATAAAAAAAATGATTTGAATGTCATCATGGATAGTTCAAATACATACATATATGTAGCATTGGTAAAAGGCGCGTATCTGCACTAAACCAAATTTTACAGGAGAGGGATTTAACATTATTACTGTGCTATTTTAATGGCTACTACATAATGACTTTTATGCTATATACAGCAAGATGTGTGACAATGTATATCAACGTTATTTTCCAGGTTACCAAAAGGTCAAGTTGAGTTCATAACCTATCTCCTAGATAAATACGGTAATGACTACAAAGCTATGGCTCGGGATAAAAAGAACTATTACCAAGAAACATGGAAACAGTTGCGAGCTAAAGTAAAGACGTTTATGGGCATTCCAAAACAGTATGGAGAATATTTGACAGCAAGAGGATTATTAGATAAGGAATTAGATGAAGAAGAAATCAAGAAAGCGGCTAAAGCACTTGTTGATGATGATTAGGTTTAGGAATTAGCACTATATTTTAGGTTATATATGATTTTATTAATATTTTTGAAATTAAATTTTTATTTACTTAATGATAAGTACTGTTTTTGTTTTAAGAGAGTTTTATTTTTATTATTTTATTTATTAGTTTAAAATATTTATTTTTAATTGTTTACTTAATGTTCGTCAAAGACCTCCTATGTATAACATAATTCAATTTCCAAGTTGATAGTAAAATCATGGTTCCTTAGGGCTCCTTGTATACTAACACAATAAATTGGTATTGAATTGTAGGAGAAATTTTATAATTATATTGTAAGTACCTCACTGGTTGTACATAATCATCAACATATGTATTATATAGCCTGACTTCACCCACTGCAAATTTTTATGTGCTACTAAAAAGCCAACGAACTCTTCTATGGCGGCCATATTTGAATATAGCGAACAACCAATTTTGACCACAAATTATAATCCGGCTTCTAGACCTACTAGACCTTCTAGACCGGCTTCTAGAAATACTTCTAGAGACTTCCCCATGCCAATTTTCAGCTGAATCAGAGCAAGTCTATTAACTTTGAATCCAAATTATGATTAAGAACACCTACACACCCCTGCATGCCAATTTTCAGCCGGAACGAAGCAAGGTTTTCTCTGAACGCCATTTTGAATTCGCCATCTTCATTTTTTTGACACGGGCAATTGACCACTATTATCCTCTATGACATTCCTTCCAGCACCTCCTACCTATCTCTAATAGTTTCCGTAATAGGAGGCTTTGAAATTTGTATGGCGGCCATCTTGTTTATTTGGATTTCGAACATTTTTTACTTCCAGCGGAAATTGACCAGAGTGTAGCTCATAAAAATGCACAAATATTCCCTGCATATATTATAGTATTTGCGGGCCGTTAATCGCTCTTTCATATTTTCCACATTCAGGTCTTCTCATATTTGATTCTTTGCTTTGGAACCTATCCGCGTAGGTACAACGGTATAAATATTTTTTTCACTTCTCATGCTCTTCTGTCCGTCTTTATGCTGGGTGTAGGCTGCATAAAATAGGATTTTATGCTCTAGTGCATAAAATAAAAAAAAATCATATCAAATATGTCTAATTGTTGTAATTTTACATTCAATTTTAATTAAATTATCGTTTATTTGTAATATTGTCAGTTCGTTCTTAAGAAAGAACTTATTTAGAGGCGGATCTATGATTATTATTAAACGCAACTTAAAATTTACAGAGCGTAAGGATATCACGGATCTTTCTACTGAACTAGGAGGTCAAAAAACAAAATACTGCAAAATTTAAAAATTTGTCATGAGAGTATCTCAAGAATGGTCTAGGGCTTAGAGGATGGAAAAAAAATAAAAGAAAGGAGCTGCCCTAACTACAGAACCAACGTGCATATAACCAAAATTTGAAAGTTACAAAATATGGCGGATTTCTTTAGTGTTGTACCATAATCTATCGATAACTCATTATCGACATGCAAATATATGGCTTGAATGTTGAAACTGTTTTTTTTTGTCTCTTTAGTTTACTGTAACCAAAGTATGCCTAAACAAACACAAGTCTAGTAATTTAATCTCGAGTGGTATATTATTATAAATGTCAACACACATTTTAAAAAGTTTAAAATAAATTTATTTTCAAGATTACAACTGGTAACTTATTTAGTGAAAGTCACCAAACTGCTGTGCAGTTTGTTGGCGACATGCGCATTCTTACTTAATTATACCTACTTTACTGGTATATAACATTACATAGTATTAATTGTACTTACTAAATGAAATATAAAAATTGTACTTTAAGAGGTACGCCTTTAACCTACATTTTAGTACATATTTACATAACGTCTTTTAACTAACTGTCAAGTACAAGTCTATTCAGGTTCCTGCGGATTCTAGTATTCACGTTACTGGCTTTCTTAAACAAATCAATCTATCAAGCAATTTTAACTGGTAACTTATTTAGTAATAGTTACCAAACTGTTGTGCAGTATGTTGGTGACATGCGCACTCTTACTTTTTTTAACGTACACACTCAACATTGCCCTACCTATACCTACTTAAAAGAAATGAACAAACATACACCCAAAAAACATAGCCCACTTTCTGACGCAGTCGGGTAAAAAATACTAAAATTATTCATGACGGAATAAAATAATTTTATTTGAATAATTTCGGAGTGACAAATTTTCAATATTTTTTTCCAAACACAATCCTGTGAACACTATTGGCCGAGCGCCTTTGATCTATGAAAACGTTTACTTTACACGTTGGCGCTCGCCCTCACTCGGCCAGGTAGGTGAGTGACACTGAACGATGGCAACGCAAGGCAAATAGGCTGTCTATACGTTGGTATTGGCCTGGCAACGTTGGACTAACATGTCATTGTATTGCAGGCTTTAAAAAATAGTAATTTTTAATAGTTAGAGTTGTCATTGGGAACAATCAGAAACGAGTGGATAATTTTGTTTTCAGGAACTGAGAATAACTAGCAAATGAGTCTTGTTTAATCTAAATTGAACATAACATTATTTACCCATAAACCTAATGATGGAATAGCATTGTCATGTAATCTAGTTACATTCAAAGTTGTTAAAATTTGACTCTTCAGAATGAAGCGAACAAATGAAGATGGTCTTTGATCCAACGCTTATATTCGGCAGTCCTATGATTTCCAACCATTCTTTCTTCCTCTTTTCGTTTGTAGGAAAACTTGAAATAATAAAAATAATAATAATAATAATAAAACAATAAAATCGTAGTGATTTCTTTTAATAACAGAATGTCGATAATATGTATGCTTGTAAGATCAACACTATCTCAAAATAATCGTTAACAACAATCATCAAAAATACAAACAAACATGCAATCCAAAGTAAGAAAAGCAAAATTTGAAAAAAGATTTATAAATAAACTACTTAAATAAGTCTAATTACATGAAATATTGGGGCTATTGTGTGATTCCTAGACAAAAAAATAACACATGCCTGTGCAATGTAACATTCGATTGATTTGCACTTTTTCTAAAGTCTACATCCCTTAATGCTGCAGCGTCGCATTTTTATTAATACCTAATTATTCCCAATGTCAATATTTTTGTCCAATTTAATTATAATACATGCGAATAATTCAATAGTACATTTGGAAAAACACTTGTTTTGACATTTGATGTACTCCCCTTTGAAATGGACACGGTTGGCATTTAAAATGACGTTACGTATTTTCGATCCCTGTGTTTGACACAGACCAATGTAATGCTATCTCTTTTGGCTTAAGACGGCACGTAATAGTTAAACATAGACGGTGTTGGGCAAAATTTAATTGTTCTTGCAACTAAAGATTGCCAATTAATTAAATTTTTATTGAATTGATTTTCAAATATTTTTTGTAAAATTACTCCGACCGGATCGAAGGAATTTTTTCTGAGTGGAGTGAGTGTCTGTTGGAGCACCCTGTATATATTTTATAAAACGAGTCGCTAGTTTGTTATGTAAAATTGGTCTTTGTTTGTTGGGAGAAAATATAATTTGTATTTGATGTTTATGAACTGAGCAAAAATGTTACATTATACAAGCAAAAAACATATCAAGGATTTTGGAATCTTTAATTAATATAGAATAAACAAAATGTGATATAATAGAAACATTGCAGTTGCACTTATAAAACACAATTTTCATTGTGCTTTACAATCATTGGGAATGTCCTTCACTGGTTTTACATCCTTCAGCTGTTCATACCAGTGCTTTTCCATTTCTAGCAGCTGTTGAGGTTTTTTATACTGAAAAAAAAAATTAACAATTTAGAAGTATGTTACTAGAAGATTAAGGAAAATATGGAAATTAAACATTCAATGTAGGTCTTCATAAAGTTTTTTTTTCTAACCATACACTCTATCTACCAATTAAAAATAAATTGCATTGTAAAATTAACCCAAAATGAGTACAAAGCTCATGCATCAACAATTCGACTAAGGAACTAGGCACTTATTGTGACTGAATGTGTTAACAAATACAAAAGAAAATTAATGTATGTAGATATGGACTTACTGTAATAATCAAAGTGTTATACTTATGAATACACTGTATATCAGCTTGTTCTATTGGTAAATTGAGTCTTGTCAACTCTGGTACTTGTAGCTTCTTAAAATACTTCTTATTGGTAGTACGGATTACAATACATTTTTCGTCATTATTGGCACTTATAGAGTAGGTTTCTATAGGGTATGGCAGGTTTCTAATCCGCCATTCTAGATTTATTCTTGTATTGCGTCTAACAAGTTGAGGCTGGAAAAAAATTATATAATCTTTGTATCTATTTCAGTAAAGTACTATCACTATACTGTAGCCAAATTCGACATAGAACAAATCGTACCCCTCATAGAAGAATGGCAAAGCGGAATTATGTCAAACATATTTATTGCTCCATAAGATACAAAAAAATATAACCCACATCCTCTCCAATTGGAGATTAGATACAGAAACATATAACCTACATCGTCTCCAAAGGAGGTTATATTTTTGTGTATCAATAATGAACCTATAAATATGGAGCAATAAACATGTTTGACATTTTCCACTTATGCTATTCTTCCATGAGGGGGCAATATGTTTACAAACAAAAACATATGATTTTGTTTTCACCTCTGACTGTTTTACGATTAACTGCTTCTGTGGCCGAATGGTTACCATGCTGGTCTGTCATGCAGAAGTCCCAGATTGTATTCCCAGGCCGGGGCTAGGAGAAATATTGGTACGGCCTACATTAATTTCTCTTGTGAGTTTGTGTGTAATTTGTGGTTGTTTGTGTGTGTCCATGGCACCCGCAACACAAAGTTTTCCTAGGGACTATGTTGAATGTGTGCGTTATTAATATATTTCTAATTACCACAATTTTAATATCTATCCTCAAAATTCAATAACGCCTTTACTAATACTAATCTTAATGTCATGTCTGTGTTAAATTTTGTTCAATAGAAATACCAGTTATTAATTATTTGTAAAATTGTGCCATCCATAATTTTGAAGGGAGATAATAGTAGTACATTATAGAAATTATAGTAACCCTATTTTTCCCAGGTATGATCTCCACAACAGCATTCCGTCGAAGAAACTCATCCAAAAATAAATACCTTGCTGCTACCGAAACGTTGACATTATTGAACAATATTAACTGACAACATTAATCGAAACTGACACTGGCCCAAGCCTAGTGGCCGCCATTAGGGAAATAGAATAGAATAGAACCCTAGTTTTAGAGTTATCTATTTGCTGCTTTTTGTCACAATTCTGTTTTGATACTTCAGTGTTTTTGTTTTACGTAGTAGTATTGGCAAGTCAAAGCAGAATGGTTTTTCAAATGTATTGGCTAAACCTCTTATTTCCTTCTACAATAATGTAATTTAGTTCAGTAAGAGAAACAGTATTTAAAAACTTTAATTTACAGATTGTTTTATTAAATAAACAACATTATAATATGCCTCAGACTGAACTATCAAGGAATGTACAACTGGTGCCTTCACTTAAGTATCTACTATATACAGGATGATTTTTTAATCATCGTCCAAATTTTTTCCAGCCGCTAGGTATCATTCAAAGACTCCATTTTGGAAAAAAAATTGATAGGTCCATTTTCAAAATGAAAATATTTATTCCGAAGTAATACTCGACATAAATTGGTTACCAATTTACGCTATTATTATTTACTACGACTATGCGTCTATGAATGAATGCCATACGCTAACCGCGCGGATTCTCCAATCATACGCCGCCAAAGCAAAATGCCGCTACCGCCGCCGCCCGCGCCGAACGCTATTGGCGGCTGTCACTTCATTCGTCACACGTCCGTGTAGCGCTTCGTACGTGTGTGCAACGCTAACTCGCTATTGAAAACGCATTCACGTGTCACTATGTATACAAACCGCGAGTACTTTGAAATGGTCAAGTGCTATTTTATAAGTGATGAAAGCCTAAACGGAGCCCAGAGACTACGAGTCAGAGAGCATTCCTCGCCTTCGCAATTATGGAATAGCAAGTCGTACAGTCCCCAACCGACGTTTGGCGGTTTGGTTCGGTTTGGTTTGGTTCTGCATGTCATACAGAGGCTTTTCGACCATGGCCAGTTTACGACGCCTTCACACGCCCAAGGACGTGGTAGGCCGCGACTGTCCGTGGAAATCGAAGACGAAATCTTCGATTTTTTCGAGAGAGATCCAAGACGAAGTACACGTGATGCGGCTCGACGGTTCAACGTTAGCCAATACGCTGTGTGGAAGCTGCTCAACACCTCTGGATTGCACCCATATCACTTTCAAAAAGTGCAAACGCTAAATGAAGCAGACGCGCTGCCTCGTCGAGTTTTCTGCGAGTGGCTGATCGCACACCCCGATGCGGTCATTTTATGGACTGATGATCCCCTATTCACACGTGTGGGGCTGTACAACCAACATAATGAACATTGGTGGTCGTATCGCAACCCGCACATGATAAAAGACAATTATCACCAAGTGCGTTTTAGTGCAGATGTGTGGGCCGGGATTGTCGGTGATAGAATTCTAGGACCGTATTTTATTGAGGGGCGGCTGACCGGAGGCACCTATCTAAATATGCTACAAAGCATAGTCTCTGATTTGATGGACGACGTACCGCTAGCCCTCATTAACCATCCTGCTTTTTATTATCAGCATGACGGTGCACCGCCACATTACGCTATCGACGTGAGGAATTATTTAAATATGGAATACGGGAATCGCTGGATCGGCCGCGGGGGTCCCGTTTCATGGCCACCCAGGTCACCAGACCTCACACCCTGAAACTTGGAAACTTTTTTTTGTGGGGCGAAATTAAACGCCGCGTGTATGTGGAGGAGGCCCAAAGTCTCGACGAATTGAAACTAAAAATTGAAAGTGCATTTGCACAAGTGAAAAGTGACACTACAGTGCTGAACAAAATACAAGACAATATTCAAAAACATGCAAGAATCTGCTTGGAGAGGAATGGTTTACATTTTGAGCAATTATTAAAATACTGTTAAAGTTGTTATGCTAAGGTAATTTTTATTTGATTTTAATTAAATGTACACAAGTTGATTAAAATTTTTTAAATACGCCTTATTGCAAAAGGCATGGCCTGCTTTTATTTTTATACTTCTGTGTACGATACGAGTGCGGACTACATTTGTCGTAAATCGATGTTTTGTTTAAATTTATTGATATTATTATAAAATGTTTCTAGTTCACTAAAAGAAAACACCACGTGCGTAGATAACAAAAGGCCTATGGGAAGATTCTTTTTTTTTATTACTTGCTAAATACTAATTCATTACAATTCTCTCGTTTTTATTTGTTTGTCTCACAAACAAAAGTAAAGATTATTTTCTTTTGTTCTCTACACATGGTAAAATTTTTAGTGACTTTGAAATTCAATAAGTAAATTCTTCGATGGCCTTCGGTAACACAACGCTTTAAATGGGTAGAAGTTAAGTTCGGGAAACGAACTTTTCTAATTAGGTGTGTTTATCAAGTGCATTATTTTTATCATTATTTTGTAATAATATCATTAAATTTTGTCAAACCTCTAAAACAATTTACTTATAAATAACTTCCGCTCTCGTTTTTCGTGCGTTAATGTAACAAAATTTTGACTTGAATTTGAATTAATTGTCTACATTCTAATATAACATCACAAAAGCCTTTTGTAACTTGACGGTCCTAAGCCCATGAAAGTATGAAGGGAAAATTTGCAACTTATGTATTTTATCAATGATGTGGGGGGTGGCCTAGCGTGCATATAGAGTAGGCTGTCCACACGCGCGCAATTTTTCAAAACAATTTTGCGATGGCATATCTTAATTTTAGTATTGATTTACACTAAAAGGAAAATTTGCGCATGTTATATTTTCACTAAAGATCATAATATGAAAGTTTGGACAATGACTAAAAATTCACCTGTATATAGCACTTAATACAAATTGCGGATACCTAAGTGAAGGCACTGACCCTGCACAAAATAAATGTTTACCTGATCCTGACATTCCATAATATCTGCAGCATCAGTATTCACAGTAGTGGCATTCGGGATTGAGTCCCCAACTTCGACCTCCCATTTCTCATCGACTCCAAACTTCCCTTTAAGCTTCCAAGCCCTTCGTAGTAAAACTTGGGTGTCTGTGTTATACTCCTCGACCATTTCCCGTTCATCTTGAAATTTGTAGTGAATCTTTTTAATTTTATCTTCCTTTAAACATGATTTTTCTGCCGCTTGGAGAGATTGATACCAAATCGTATTTTTATACATCGCTGTTGCTCTAGGAATACTCGCTAAAATACCATTAAATTTCTTTCCTAAGACTTCGAGATCGTCACTGTCAAAAACTTCGATCAAACATTTTCTTTTCATGGTTTTGCAAAAAGAGTATATTAATAACACTACGTTGTTTTGTTTCTATGGAAACGATTATCACCTTCAATTATACATTAAAAATGCAACAGCATGGTTTCTGAAGTATGTGTTGATTAAATCTCTTAATTATTATGCGATACTGCGTACAAAAAACAAAATCTTATTGTGATTTGACTGTGTTTTTGCAGTATTTTTGACATTTTTGAGGTTATTGTTATGACATCTATTAAAATTTTTCGTCACTCGTTCGGGATAAAACAAACCCATCAGAATGACGTTCAGAAAGACATAATAGTGGGTGAATATACAAAGACATTGTACGTTGTTCCAATCATTGACTTACAATTATATGGACGTCGGGTCCGCGCTAAAAAGTGTCCGAACTTATAGGGCGTTAAAATCGTATACAGAGCGTCATTCATGCTTTAGTCTTCGTTTGTTCGACTGACAGCGAAGCAAGCAAAATTAGACTGTACTGCGATGGCATTACAATTTAAATTCAACGTTTTAGCTTCTCATATTCCTTTACATGTCACTACGTTTAAATAGGTTGACTTGGGACATTTTTTTCGTGGTTTTTGTATTAGACCCCTCATCCATTTATTTGTAAGTCAATGGTTCCAATGAAATAAAGATTTAAAATAGACTATTAACTCAACTTAATTCTACTTGTTCAAGTGTTGCAACAACTAATTTCATGTTTTCACGAGAATTAAAAAAAATATCTGTAAAAAAACTACTTAAGAATTCATTAACGCTGAGAATTAATTACTGCAGCCTATTCTACTCTGTACAGTTTACAAAATTGTGATATTAAAAAGAAAATTACCTGTACAATGCCAAATAGTATTTAGTAACTAAATATTTTACTAATTTTTCATAAAATTTCAACGAAAAATTTAAATTTTGGCAATTAAGGTCTACATCTACATGGCGTTTAACTTTTGACTTAGTAAAAAAATCATTACCAGAACGTGAAATTTGCAACTTTCATGTGAGCGACAAACGCCTTTGGTCTTGCTGCAAATCATCGTAAACGCTTCTGTGAACTATAGTGTGTCGCTGAGATTCTTCGAGATAGATCTCACGACCACGTTGACTTTCTCACCGAAAATTGGAATCGAAGTCATCTCTACTCAATGCTCAAGTCAGGATTTGAGTAGACTTGAATATGATTTCAAGCACTGGAAATACGAACCTAATAGCAAGGACTTGAGTATGATTTCTAGTGCTTTGAATCATACTCAAGTCCTGACTTGAGCATTGAGTAGAGTTCTAGAATACAACCCTAAATGTAATGTATATATGTGCGTGCGCGTGTTCATGTACGTTTGTGTGTACGTGTATTTATAATGTGTAAATTCTATTACTAGTAATAATATAATAATTAACATTTTCTTTGCTAATAGCTATTTTTTAGTAAATAACCTTGTATTATTAATTAAATCAACAAAACAAAATAAATATTTTGTAAAACCCAAAATTATAATAAAAAAGTGGAAAAATAGCGTACTTAAAAGTTACACATTTTTTAAAGTTATACTCATCCAGTATTATTCAAACACTACTTTTAATAATCTATTTCCTTTTCTATCCATTTTCTTTTTAACCTTACCTATTCCTTTTATGTTACCCTTATTAGTATCGTCATGGTTTTCGTTTTCTTTTTTTGGTTAGCTTAGCTTCTACTTCTTACTACTCTAATGAAAGAATTTATAGCAACATTTCAAAATTACTGTCTCTTTTTTAGTGTTAAGCTGCCTTCCGATCTTTCTTCTATATTTTTTTCCAGCTATTTGATTTTCAGTCATCCTTGATACTTGTATATTATTTTTGGTATAACACCGCGTTTACACTATCGTCGATTGTTTCGACGAATGTTACGTCGAAACAATCAACGGAACATTCATTCGAGTGGTTGAAACGCGTTGACACATTCGTGCGATAGGCGATGCGACGCACGACATGCATGTGTAAACGGTCACTTCGCTATTCGCATCGTGCATCGCATCGCCACTCGTGCGATCGCGTCGTGAGCGGTATTTCGTTCGAGCACGAGTCAAAGGACAGGAGCTTTCTTTTAAAGGTGTGCTTTTTTTGAGAGAAAAGTATACAAACTACAATCAATGATAAATATAAACTCTTGGTATTTCATGGCATGTATCCATATTATTTTCGTAAATATTTATATGTATTTTAATTAAAATGTATACAAAAAAAGGTTATTGTAAATTCTCGGACAACACTCAAACGGGGTAATTATCACGGCCTTGTATATTAAACTGGACCGCGCACTAAGTTAATAAAACGAGCAGAGTGAGAGGCTTCAAAGTAGTCATGTGTCTCTTTCATTATTGTTTCAGCCAGCCATTTGTAATTTGTAAAAGGCTGGACGCCATAGTGCCAGGAAATAAGAAAAAAAATTAAGTTCGCGTCGCCACTCGTGTCTAACTTCGCGACGCTACTCGTGACTAACTTCGCGACAGCGTAGTAGTGCCGTTTACACATGCGTGTCGTGCATCGCATCACTATTCGCAGCGCCTATCGTACGAATTTGAGAACGCGGCATCATCACGTCAAAACAAAAAAGGTAAAAGTACTAAAAAATGTTATTACGAGTAATGCGCGGGTGTTGTATTTTATATAATATTACGAAAACAAGTACATATTTTGTGTTGTGTTCAAAAATATGTAGTAAGTAATCATGTCATGGATTTTTTTTAAGTTTACTTTTATTTCAGAAAACAACCAGTGATAAATATACACTTGGTGTTATAATTATTAATACAAAGAAAAAATTCCTTCGATCCGGCCGGATTCGAACCGGGTCCTTCTATCTTACCGTGCCAGACGCTATACTAACTAAGCCAAGGAACGAACCAGCGGAATTCACGAATTTTTCTATGTGCTTGCGTTGTGTCTTTGTATTTGGTTTTTCAACGACTTTTTAGTCGTAACGCCATCTATGAGAAATCTATGAAAGATTTGTCACCCAGTTAGTATCTATACAGCTACACGTCCTGGCGAGAGATGTCGCTATTCGCTGTATTTTATAAATTTTTATTGAATTGATATTTAATTATTTTTTGTGAAATTACTCCACTAGCTTGTTATAATTATAAATACAAAGATCGAAAACTCAGAAAAAATTCCTTCGATCCGGCCGGATTCGAACCGACGTCTTCTAGCTTACCGTGTCAGACGCTATACCAACTAAGCCACGGAACGAACCAGCGGACCTTACGAATTTTTCTATGTGCTTGCGTCGTGTCTTTGTATTTGGTTTTTCAACGACTTTTTAGTCGTAGCGCCATCTATGAGAAATTTATGAAAGATTTGTCACCAGTTAATACCTTTACAGCTACCAGTCCTGGCGAGAGATGTCGCTATTCGCTGTATTTTAAATTTTTATTAAATTGATATTCAATTATTTTTTTGTGAATTTACTCCACTAGTTTGTTATAATTATAAATACAAAGATCGAACACTCAGAAAAAATTGATTCGATCCGGCCGGATTCGAACCGGCGTCTTCTAGCTTACCGTGTCAGACGCTATACCAACTAATCCACGGAACGAACCAGCGGACCTCACGAATTTTTGTATGTGCTTGCGTCGTGTCTTTGTATTTGGTTTTTCAACGACTTTTTTAGTCGTAGCGTCTTGCAATTTCTAGAACTATATGTATGAAACCGAAGAGCTCATTTCAAACCCAAAACATCCGAACCACAAAATTAAACACAAAGTTCGCGATGCGTGGAACCGTATTTCTAATATTAGGGGTTAAAGTATGAAATTGCCGTTTCGCACTGACAAATTAAAACAATTTTTTTTAAGATTAAATATATTTGTTTAATCAAAGTTTTTGCCCTTGTTGTCTATACATTTCTGCCATGTAATCGGAAGGTCATTTAAACCTTTGCGATAGAAGTCTGGAGACCTGGACTCCACAGCTGTGTGAAGGGATTTTTGTACTGCTTCCTGGGAATTTTATTTCCATACAAAAAAAAATCAAATTGCGGGAAAAAATGGTAGTCGGTCGGGGCGAGGTCCGACGAATATGTAGGATGATGGATAATTTATATCTGCAGGTCTTGTAGTAGTAAAACTGTTTCTCAAGCAGTGTGAGGTGTTGCGTTATCATAGAGCAATAACGGTGAAGCTGTTTTGCTGCGAGTTCCGTCGTCATTATTCAAACGCCATATGTCATATTGTGGGTATGCTAACATTAAACCATGACGTTTCGTGGTAGTTTGATACGGATCGGCTTCCATCATTACCTTCAATTCAACGTTATTTACATTTGTGACTGGTCTTCCTCGTGGTTCATTCTTCAAGTCGTAATTTGCCGTATTGCCGGCGTTTGCCGTATTTGCGTATGCCGTATCCTCTCCAAATACAGCATTGACAGTTTCTGCTACGTTAACTCCATGTGGAAATTCGTATTCGAAAATTAGGTACTCAGATTTTCGCTGTATCCATCTTCACGTTAAAAGCTGAATGTAAAAACAATTGAAAGTCGAACAATCAAATATCATGTTTTTTAAGTTAAGCATGTTTTACTTTTCGTGTGAAAAACGTTTCACTCTGAAATCGGACACCATACAGGTTTAATTTTAATTTAAAGTGGCCAGTAAAATAAATCGGCAATTTCATATTTAAACCCCTATTATTATAAAATTACCAGTCAATTAGTTGAAAGCGAAGAAGAACTCGTTAATTTTTGAATATAATTATGTAAATATTAGATATTCCAAAAACAAGTACCTACTTTGTGTTGTGTTCAAAAATATGTAGTAAGTAATCATGTCATGGATTTTTTTTAAAAGTATACTTTTATTTTAGAGAAAAGTAAGCAACCAGTGATAAATATACATTCAGTGTTTTATATATTTATCCGTATCATTTTCGTACAAATTATTGCAAGGCATTTGCATTTTTTTAAATTAAGTTTGTGATTTTATGATTATTATGTAACTACCTTTAAAACTACGGAATTTATCACTAGTATCAGGTTTCTTACCACGGTATGACTTCTTTTTATTTTCCCGATATTTCAACCCGTGACCATGGAGCGTGCAACCGTTCCGAAATATCGGGAAAATAAAAAGAAGTCATACCGTGGTAAGAAACCTGATAATAGTGATAATCATTTAGTGAATAACCACGAAAGTCTTAAAATCTATACTACGGAATTTATTAGATTTTAGTCAGAATCTACTATTCAAATTGAAACCAATTATAAATAAATAAATAAATAAATAACCCACACACTCAACATAGCCCCGCACTAGGGAAACCCTGTGTCGCGGGTGCCATGGACACACATAGACAACCACAAATTACACCCAAACTCACGAGAGAAATAAATGTAAGCCATACAAACATTTCTCCCGGCCCGGGAATCGAACCTGGGACCTCTGCGTGGCAGTCCGGCATGGTAACCGTTCGGCCATGCAGTTAAAAAAATTTGAGGTGTTGTCCAAGAATTTTCAATAACCTTTTTTTTGTATACAGTTTAATGAAAGTGCATTGTATAAATATTTACGAAAATGATATGGATACATGCCATGAAATACCAAGAGTTTTTATTTTTAAGAGTTTTTATTTTACCATTGATTGTGGTTTGTATACTTTTCTCTCAAATAAAAGTACATCTTTTTTTTAAGCTCGTGCTCGAAAAATCGCTCATGCATGACGCGAATAGCGAGCTAGCCGTTTACATATGTGTGTCGTGTATCGCATCGCCACTCGCACGAATGTGAGAACGCGTTTCAGCCACTCTGTTCTGTGAGTTCTGGAATACGACCCTAGGGGTCGTATTCTAGAACTCGACTCAATGGTCAAGTCAGGATTTGAGTATGGTTTAAAGCACTCGAAATCATACTCAAGTCCCTGCCATTAGAGTCGTATTTCCAGTGCTTGTGTTTCCAGTGCAATCCTGACTTGAACTCTACTCAATGAGTTTTAGAATACGACCCTTATTAGGGGCGTATTCCAGAACTCTACTCAATACTCAAGTCAGGACTTGAGTATTGCAGTGAGCACTGAAAATCATACTCAAGTCCTTGCCATGAGAGTCGTATTTCCTGTGCTTGAAATCATACTCAAGTCTGTTCAAATCTTGACTATTGAGTACAGTTCTGGAATACGACCCTAAATGTTCAAGTCAGGACTTGAGTATGATTTCAAGCACAGAAAATACGACCCTAATGGCAAGGACTTGAGTATGATTTCTAGTGCTATTAATCATACTCAAGTCCTGATTTGAGCATTGAGCAGAGTTCTGGAATACGACCCTATAATTAAAATTTTTGGGTACCAGATTAGGCGATTTTTCGCCATATAAGCTATTCGCGCGTCTCGCGGCAAGACGACTTCCTTTTTTTTTTCCATCCTCTAAGCCGGCGATATTTAGGCTATCTTTGAAATGGGAAAAGGCGATTTTATGTTACTTTATAAAATGTCTGGGGAATTACAAATTTGATTGGGGATTTTGTGGGGAATGGAGTTGTGAAATTACTCATTTGGAGGTTTGAGTCTTTCTATGTGTGGGGAATTGGGGAAATAAGAGAGTTAATTTTCCTTAATGTCCGGCAGCAAGCAGAATTGTAGAATTATTATCCTTGATTTTTAGGGATTTTATGGCTTGGGCGAATATCGGCTACTTAAGACACATAAATTGGCGAATTAACTTCGCAAAAGTCTGGCAACACTGGAGGATTATACGTCATCGTGTGGCATAGTATAGTTTTCTATTGCGTGTTATTTCTATTGTTACTTCAGTTTTCGAGTAATAAAATGGTGTTAGTTATTGCTTTCAATTTCTTTTTTATAACCGTGAGTATATTATGCGTGAGACGTTATTAATATGTACACATAATGTTTAGAGACAATTTTTTTTTTGGTAAAAATTATCATCATATGTTGAGCTGTTTCTGTTATGAATGGCCCTCTTTTTGTTTTACTGAACGTGTTTATTTCGTATTGCCGATGGTGTCTGTAAATATTTGCGATGTACGCCTTTTGGGCACTAGCACAATAAAATTTCAATAATATGTACCTACCAGCCGGCCATATGTACCTTCCAATAATTTTATAAATTTCGTGACGTTTCTCACGTGGAATTAAGTGCCGATGTTTTTGTTAGAGCGTGCGTTTTATGAGTAGAAGCTCTTAATAATACTTATAAATACCAAATAAATAGAGAATTTGAAGTTACAAGAAAAAACTAAGACATATAGGTACACAGTATAATACAGAACAAAAGCTACATTGGTTGACAGATTTCAATATTAAAGATTTCCAAAAAACTAATTCTTCTTTTCAGTAGCCAGGAACACTATCCTTGACAATTTTCAAAAAATCTTTATGTATGCATTGCAGAAAAACCAACAGATTTTTTTGTACCTATTCTTGGGACGAACATTGCCCATTGTCCTAGTTCTTCTTCAATTGTGTTTTTGTATTTGTCACATGATGTAGTCATACAGTCTGTTTGTTTGTTAAACACATTTAGATTGTCTTTTGCATGTTGTTGCCAACTGCGATCTTCAATGCATTAGACCATCTCACTAGTGCTCTTTCTTTCGCTTTTCATTACCTGCCCTATTATATGCTTGTCCTTGGTATAAGACAACATTTAATATACCAAAGAAACTGCAAATATGCCTTAAAATTTACAAAATATTGGAACAATTTGAATGGACTGTGATATGAATTTGTTTTTTTTTTCAGATGGTTTCTTCAAGTATCCTGAAATCCAGTGAATCTCAAGTGTCTTGAACACTCCCCTGTAGCTTATTAATTTAAGTTAACAACATCTGTGTTTAAAAAAAATTCTCATCTCTTATTATTCTTATTATCAATGACAGTTGTCAGTTTGCTAAACTTCAGACAATCTTATCAACTCTGCTCAAGATAAACCTGTGACATTCAGTTACTAACATCCAAACAAATTGGGCGCTTTTATTTCTTTAAAACTCAGTAGTTTACATTATTGAGAGTTGGTTTTTATTTTTTTGTAATATTTCTTGAAAAGATGGCATCAAACGACCCTGAACTCAAAGATACTTTTGGACTTCCTACCTGGATGAAGACCAAACCTGTTAAGTAAGTACCTTCAATTCAATTGTTTTTGTTACAGTACTTAGTTTTATCAGGTAAGTGATGGGAATTTGTTTTATTTATTATTTCCTTAGACTTTTGATCACAAAAACAAAATCGTAAAGATTCAATCTTATTGTAATGTGTAGAAAAGGTTATTGCAATACAGTTTATATTATGTAATATGAAATAAATTGTATGTGTCTTTTACTTGCACCAATACATTTTCAAGTGAACAAAATTTAAAGTATTACAGAGTTGCATTAATGTTTTTCAGAAATGTATGAGGAAGTTTTAATTTTTGTATTTGTTTATTTTAGTTATAAATAAATTTTTCCTGAATATGTTGATAGCATTACCATTGATTCGTAAAACTGTGATATTGTTGAAGAAATCAAAAAGGTGAAAAATTCTACAATAGTCCTCTAAAATGTAAAAAAGTGTTAAAGTGCTATCATTAGATTTCTAAAATGCATTCTTGGCATGGTTTCTTGTACCAGCCGTCACTTCATTTCGCGCAACGCTACTAATACATACAATGTTCTTATATGTGTATTTAAAATAATACAAGAATTCACTACATAACTTCATGTAGGCAAGTTTGTATGTGGGTTATGCATATAAATTTTTTTCAAGTACACGCCAGCACGTCGAGCTACACATTGGCGATCTTGTTCCATTGCAAAGGAGGCGATTATTGAACAAAAAATTGTAGACTGATGTGCCGTTGTCCATACATCAACATTTCTCAAATGGATTCTGCACATTATTGTAATTTTGTTATAACTAAAACTAATGTTTATCCTATTACACCCTATTACATCCTATTGTACCTTAACATAGATATTATATAGTTATAGATAACATACTTTTTATTTAAAATGAGTAAACATTCCATGAATTTGAACCTTAAGGTATAATATAATAATTCATGGAATGTTTACTCATTTTAAATAAAAACTATGTTATCTATACTTCAATAAGACACTTATTAATTTATCTGGTATTGGTATAGTCTGAATATTATGGTATAATGTTTAGGTGTGTCTCAGTTTAGTAATTTTTTCGTGTAGTAAGATTTACGTAGTTCCATTAAGTAGATTTAGCAAGCATTCATCACACATCACATTGTTACTTATTTGTAATTTGGCCATCGTTTATTATTTCAGTTATGAAAACTTAGAAGATTTAAAGTGTGTTGTAATCAAATGTCCTTTATCTATCCACTCTCCGTCTAAGTATAGTGTGTCATCTTAATTATTTGTTCAAGTAACTTCAGGTACTTTCTAAGGGTAAGAGGGTATTTTTACCTCGACATTCCCATTCCCATGCTCAATGTAGTACTACAATTGAAATAATTTATAATTACAAAAGGAACACTCCTTTTCCGACTCCGATAATTAACGCGAGTATTGTAGGTACCAACAAAAATTGTTTTTGTACTTTTGCAGATAAGTATCAGTTTCCAAGCAGATAACTCTGTGACGTCACTTTTACTTTTAATGATTACGACATGTTTTTATATCTTCAAACAAGTCGATTATTTTCTTGATTGATAGTACCTTTTTTAAAACTTTATTCTTTCTTTTCTTTGTACGGTTACTTACGGCTGTTGGTTTTCTTTCTTAGACTTTAATTATTGCAACGGTATGTTATTAATTATTATCATTGTTTTGAGTTGAAAACCGGTGACCCCAAGACACAGTTTTTAAAATTATAATGATGTGCTTAACAAGCGCACCTATCGCTTGATCTCAAATTAAAGGTTTTCTTTATCATACTAACTTTTTATATTACATTTCTTAGTAAGCTATGAGTACCACAGTATCGAAAATAACTTCGGGGATACTACCCAGAAAACACAGACCAGAACCAATTTTTGAAAATTTCTCGAGAATCGAACCCGAAACCTTTTTAATTAAATAGTGACGTACGAAGATAGGGAAGACTTAGAATTTGAATAATTTTGTCTTAAATTTTCTTTATGTGCAAACTGCCAACAGTATGATATTTCATATTTGTAAATGATATCATTCTTCGGTCGCTTCGGTCATCAATTTGTCAATACCAAACAATACTTGGTCTTCCTTGAAGGCATTTATTGCTTATACAGTTTATTTCCCATAGTTTCATCCATTAAGAAGATTCAAAAGAAATTTCATCGCGTTTTGCAATGAAACGTTAAATGTACCTAAAAAATAGTCACATGGTATTTATGGTGGACGATTTCCTTTATATACATACGTTGTCATGTGTGTAATTCGATAACACAGCGTCACGCGCCGCGCGCCGCTTTGAAATGGATATTTCATCTCCGATTTATGTTTATAATAACGATGTATTTATTGTTTATTTCCGTCCGTAGACTACACGTATAGGTTATAATAAATAAAAAATAAATACACGAACCTAAGTACAGTACGCAAGGAACTATATCCGCATTAATTTCGCATGTCAATATATATATTATTTATTTATTTAGTAATAAAATTTATTTTGTAGGTAGGGACCAAAACAGAAAATATGCATACTAGGTTAGAATTTACGAATTACGAAAAAGGTTATCAGTACCGAACATCTTTTACAATGCAATGTAAATCCTATTATACCTACACATGTATGCACAAAAATTAAATGTTTTGTGTTCTTTCGATCCCGCTAAAAAAGAGCATACTAAAAATATGAAATATATAATGATATATGAACAAAATGTACGTAAAGCCACGCATACATTAGTTTCGTTAATTAAGTGGCTAATGGGGCCATCCGTTGTACATTCGCCTGGCAGTCAGAGGGACACATAGTTCCCTGATTGAGTCGTTGCTATATTGTTTAATCATCATCACCAAATATGCTACAAGTTGAATAAAATGAAACTATTATTTATACATAGTAAAGAAAAAACCACGTCAACCATCAGGCACGTAGGCAACAGCGTTAATTATATACAATTCTAATTTATTTTTTCCTATTTGAGTCTAATGATGACTTAATATTCATAACTTATTCGGCATTTTATCTGAATCGTGTTCATAAAATGATATCAGATGACTTTAAGATAATATGCAGCATACATATGTACCTACATCTAAGCCTTTTGATTTACCTATAAATTGACTAATTTAAAAACTCCACTATTTCTGTACGGCATAAGACTTGGTATTGTGTATTTAAAATATTTGAAAATATACACTTGGCTTTAAAATTGTCGGACGCAAGTTTGACGTCATTTGGAGAAGTCAGTCCTCCAAGACTTGTTAAATTATATTCTATACGTGGTTCACCTTCACACTAGAAAGGAAACCTCGTGATATTTGAGATCATTCCCACAAATTAATGAGTCTATTATAACAAAGTTTACACAAATAGTGGATATTTTGAGCGGTAGATATTTTGATTAGTGATTTTTATCCAATTTGGATTTATTGACGCTAGTTTGTCTTCAAGCTATTTATTTTTATCGTCGACTTCTTGATCATCTTCATCGATGTCCTCCGGAAGTTCTTTAAATTTGGGAAACTACAGAGGCCATCTTTCTAAGTACCTCTTCACAATCGAATATATTATTACTCCATTTCGGCCCGAACATTGTAAACATCTCCGAAAATAAATGTTTTGGCTTTTGTCCCTCACAACTGAATCCAACCTCCCAATTGTGTGTGGATTTTACCTTAAAAATACATAGTTTGAATGATATTCAAGACTTTCGTTGGAAAATATCCAATGTTCAATATTTGCCAATATGTCTGGCAAGCACTATAGCCATACGTTTTTCCGCATGAAATTGTATTTTTTAGGTAGTTGTATGTGTTTAAAAATTATGGTCATGCGCTTTTGGTATAGTAATGTACTAATTAAGATAACATGACAGTTTGTAATACACTGTGTCCATATATTGTGACGTAAATGTGCTGAACTGGCGAGTAAATTGTTTAGATTGACGCAATATTGAAATTACAAATTTGTTGACACGGGCTCTATTATAAGCATACAATGTTATTTGTGATTTGGAAATCTTTGGGGGCTTGTTTCTGATGTCATTTCACTATAAGATTACGACGTGGTGTACTCTTGTGTATTTTGTCGGCCTAAGTATTCTCTTCATATACAAGAAGTACATTAATAAGTCTTTTACACGAACAAAGTTGACCTCGGTAGATAGAATATTGCACTCTGAATCTGTTACGTGATTTGTATTTGGGGTGAGACGGTGATTTGTTTGATTGCATTTGTGACTATACCACACAATCAACAAACAATAATAAATAAATGAACAAAACAGCCTTTATAAGCGTTCATTAAATGTTTCCACACTGGTCAAACTTTGCCTATTCATTCTCCAACAAATTCGGTGATCTCAATTACGTCATATGTCGTATTGTTGTAGTACTTCTTACAAGTTAATAGCTAAAGCACGTTCTCATTGGTCTTGCTAAGTTACAGTTGCAGATTGCCAGCGAAATATTGCTCTCGGTGTCGCGCAATTATGGAAAACTACCGCGGCGTGAGCTATTAACAATTAAAACCCGTGTCGTACAACAATAGAACCACTTACTGTGAATTACAATCTATACATGTGTTCACTAGTGACACTTTGAAGTAGGTAATCAGTGTATTCAATACTATGCGTGCGATACTAAACACTAAATGTACACCTTCAAAATATTATGCTGTGTATGTAGACATAGAAACAGTAATACATGCAAAAGTCGACAAAACGTCTTTAATTTTTAACCGACTTCAGTTCGACTGTATTTATTTTTTATTATTCCGACATTTGTGAACCGATTTTGATGATTCTTTTTTTTTTGTTGGAAAGAGGGTACCTCAGTATTAGTATCATTTAAATTTGAAGAAAATATTCCACATCTAAGGGTGGCAAACTAAGGGATGAATCCGGTTTCGCGCACTTTCCGTTAACCGATTTCAATAAAACTTTGCAAATTGATGAAATTCCATTAACTTTTGAGATCGGATTTTTTAAATAAATAGTTATAATTATTTAT